GGCTCATCACATGGTGAGCCTGGGGTTCAGGATAAATTTAGAAAAGAGTGTCCATCTTCCCACCCAAACCATCCACTTTATAGGCCTGCTGCTGGACTCCACGCAGGCTATGGTGAAACTGAGTGGAGAGAGAATGAATGCAATAAAGAACTGCTTGGCTCAGTTCCACAGGGGGAACATGGTGTCACCCAGACTCTGCCAATGACTGCTGGGCCTAATGGCTTCAGCTCTGATGGCTGTCCCCCTAGGTTGTTTACACATGAAGGGAGTTCAGCGGTGGATGGCCAGACAGAAACTGGTCCAACACAGCTCTTGGAACATCAGGATCACAGCAGCCTGCACTGCTGCACTTCGGCCCCGGAGAAATTGACATCTCCTATTGCTGCGAGTGCCAATGGGCACAGTGCAAAGCAGAAAAGTGATCAAGACAGGCGCCTCTCTGTCAGGTTGGGGGGGGGGGGTCTTCGAGGAAGACCGGTGAATGGGTCCTGGCCCTCCCACATGCTCAGGTTCCACATAAATTATTTGGAACTGTTGGCAGTCTACATGACGTTGAGACATTTCCTCCCTCTCCTCGTAAACCATCATGTTCTGGTACGAACAGACAACACAACTGTTGTGGCGTACATAAATCAGCAGGGGGGTCTGAGATCCCAAAGCCTGCAGATGTTAGCTCACAAGCTTGTTCTGTGGAGCAGCAGACACTTCTTGTCTCTGACAGCCACTCATGTACCGGGGATACGGAACCTGGGGGCAGATCTTCTCTCCAGAGGGAACCTCCTGTACGCTGAGTGGAGACTTCACCCAGAGGTGGTCAGGATGATCTGGATGCGCTTCGGGCAGGCCTCGATAGACCTGTTTGCCTCTCGGGAGAACACTCAATGTCCCATGTTTTTCTCCCTAAACGACCAGGACGCACCTCTGGGAGTGGATGCATTTGCCCACAGATGGTCACAGCCCTGCTCTAAGCGTCCCCCCCCCTCTCATCTCACTCACGCTCACCAGAGTGAGAACGGAGGACCTGGTAATGATTCTGATTGCGCCCCATTGGCCATCGAAACACTGGCTGGCGGAGATCACACAGCTCCTTTGTGGAGAACCGTGGCCCCTCCCCTACACAGAGATCTGCTATCTCAGGTACAAGGGGAGGTTTTCCACCCACACCCGGAGGGATTGTCCCTCTGGGCTTGGCCCGTGAGTGGTCCAACCTACAGGCTGTAGGACTCCCACATAGGGTCATTGAGACCATTCAGGGTGCAAGGTCTCCCTCAACTAGGTCTCTGTATGACTGCAAGTGGTCTATTTTTGAAAAATGGTGTGGGGAGAAACAGGAAATGCCTTTTCAGTACTCCGTGGCAGTCATACTGACCTTCTTGCAGGACCTGATGGATAAAGGAAAAGCTTTCTCCACCATCAAGGTGTATTTGGCTGCAATATCAGCCTGCCATATTGGTTTTGAAGGGAAGTCGATTGGACAGCATCCCCTTGTGAGTCGATTTATGAGAGGCATGCAAAGGCAAGTTCCCGTCTCTAGGAATCTGGCTCCACAATGGGACCTACTGCTAGTTCTGGAGGCCTTAATGTCTTCTCCTTCTGAACCACTGGAGCAGGTGGATTTGAAGGTGGCTACATTAAAAAAGGCGCTGTTGCTGGCACTTGCGTCGGGTAAACGTGTGGGTGAAATACATGCTCTGTCTGTTCACCCGTCATGTACCAATTTTCCCAAGGGGACTCGAAAGTGACCTTACTCCCTAATCCCACCTATATGCCACAGGTGCTGGGGGCTTTTTCCCCCCATTGCTTTGGTTTCCTTCTGCCCTCCTCCTCAGTGGAGCAGAATCTCCGTGCACTTTGTCCGGTGCGTGCATTACATATATACATGGACAGGACAGAGACTATGCGAAAGAGCAACCAGCTTTTTGTGTCCTGGGCCAAAAATTGGTTGGGGAAGCCCATATCAAAGAACGGACTTTCTTACTGGATTGTAGGAGCCATTTCCTTAGCCTACAACTCCAAAAGGGCTCTACCTCCTGAGGGCCTTTGTGCACATTCTACTAGGGACTTTCTTCCTCATGGGCCCTAATTAAGGGAGTGTCCATTCAGGAAAAATGTGATGCGGCGAGCTGGACCTCCCCTCACACATTCACTCTGTTCTACAAGCTAGATGTCACAACACCGTCACTAGCTCACTCTGTGCTGGGTATGGCTCCCACTATCTGAGCTGTGCACACGATATGATATTTGGAAGTACAGACTGTGGATCATATTCTGCCTTGCTATCCAGGAATCAGTATTTTCCCATAGTGAGACACGAAACGAATGCTATGAAAGAGAACTTTAGGTTACTGTCGTAACCCTGGTTCTCTGAGTAGCATGAGTGAGTGTCTCACCATACCGCCCTCCTTGCTATTTCGTAGCGAGGAAGAGGTGGTCAATTTAGAATATTGTCAGTGAGAAGCCGGCCTAATATATAGGTGGGGTTCCCGCCTCCTATATGCTGACAGATTTGTTCCAGCCAATCAGGGCTGGCAGTGTGGAATAAGAGCTTCTGATGAGGTCACGCCTAGGCGTTCCCATAGTGAGACACTGACTCATGCTACTCAAAGAACCGGGGTTACGACAGTAATCTAAAGTTTTCCCATCTTAAATCTGTGGTCTGACAACTATTAATATTTGTTATTGTTTTTGTTTGGAACCGTTCTTTGTTGTATTATTTTTTAATTGATTTTATGACTCGACTATTTTATGCTTCTGTTGTTGTTTTTTGTACAGCGCTTTGGTTGGTAGTAATGCCATGTTGAAAGCGCTTTTATAAATAAAATGGTATGTTATTGTAGTCTGTCCTGGATGGTGCATTTTTATTTACTTTCACCTAGGGCTGGGCGATCTATAAAAACTTTGATCTTTTCCCTTTACTTGACTTGTTTTGAAATGTGATTTATTTTTCTTATTATTTTATTTCATTTTTATATTGTCCTTCATGGGATTATTCAACTGTGTTCCTCTGAACAACCTCATCATAAACTGTTCCAACTTTAGCTATACTGACTAGTTTCTCAGGTGCAATGGATGGACCCAAGTAAACCATCGCTTTAGTAAAAGTTATGATAACAGGACTGAAAAAAGCAGAAAGATCATCCCTGCAAATCCTGTCTGTTGGTCTGTGGGGTCACAGAGGTCACACCACATCTACGCAGGGTGTGGGCCTCTTCTCAACAACACTTTAAGCTGATATGTGTGTTCAGAATGGGTGCTGCCAGCTGTTACTAAAGCTGACTGAACCGTAGGAAGGCTAACCAATGTCACCGGGAACATCGACCAAACCAGCAGAAAGGCCTAAAGCTCCAGCAACCAGCTAGTACCGGCCTCACAGAGCACAAACACACTCGCATGCATGCACACCCACATCCTGGCAGGTCAAAGTGTGAAGAGAATAATGTCTAATTGCTCAAGTTTTACTGAAGCTGACTTTTTATTTTACCACAAACAGAAAATCACATTTGCCACATCTATGTTTCAACCTTTAAAATAAAAACACAGAAAAGAAAGGAAGAAGTAGCAAACTGTCATGTAAACAAGAGAATTTCATGCAACAAGAAGTCAACACATGCCACCTTAAAACAAGCAGCTGAAGCACAAACTCATGTGAACCTGCACAGAAGCTACAGGTGGGGTTTTCTCAGTAGCTTACACTCAATCTATAAACTAAAGCACGTGCAGCTTCCAGTAGGAGAACCAAACGGCTATCTAAGGGTCAATCCATTCCTTTATGATGCCATTCACCTCAAGATAAATCCTCCTTTAAAAGCCGTTACAAAGTCTGATTGCTTAATTCAGCAAGTCACGGGTCTATACAAGGTTAGAACAGCTTCAGGCTAAAAGGAAACTTGAGAGGTTCAGATTTTTTCCAAAACACTCAGATACATTTAATAGTTTAAATTAAAGTTTTATATAGAAGTGCACCAACATAAAAAATGTTGGCCAAAACAAAAAAAAACAAAATACGGAAACCAAAGCTGAAAACCGAAACACCGACATGAACGATTCTGTCAATAATCCATAGCATTTGTGGCTACGATGTGTCCTAACCTCACTAAAATCAAGTCATTGCAGTAAATCAATTACAAAATCATGAATTAATTTATGTAGCTCTGACATAAATTAAAACTCTAAATAAAATGTTTCACTTGACCCCACTCCTGTGTATATTAAATAATAATAAATTAAAAATAAATAAAATTATAAATGTACAGGCTTATAATTACCTGCTGAGGACTGTAAAATTAACCCTTTATACACCAAAGTAGAAATACTACGTTTAATGAGCCAAAGCTGCAAATAAAATCCATCATGAAGTTATTACTCTACTCTAGAAGATAGTGGAGATGTGTAACTTCAGTCTGAGCAACACTTTCGGGTAGGGTTGCTCAATTAATCGAATTTTAATCCCAATTACGATCTGAGTTTGGAACGGTTACAAAAACAAAACGAGACGATTATTTTCTCCTCCCTCTTGCACTGCTCCAAGTTGCAAATCAAGCGCTCCTCCCACATTGTTGCCAACTTAGCTAATTAGTTGCTATTTCTAACATCTTTTCAGACCCCCTTCTTGACTTTTTAAATTGTAAAAGTGCCTAGCGAACAATGTAGAAACATCTCTGGTAACCCAATAAGCAATAACCAATAAGCAATAACCAATAGCTGCACAACTGCTAAGCTAACCACATGTTGGCAGATAACATGTCTGTTGTTTGCTGATGTTTGCTTAAACTCGTGTTTTCATTCAGTGTACAAAATACGAGGTCCGAATGTCCTTTTGTCATTAGCATCAAAGTGTGTAAACACCCCAACCTGTATACCTTTACTGTGAGCCGTCCAAAAAGCCAAGCAAATATCACAAACAAGAGACTTCATTCAAGAACCAGAACTGTGAAATTTGTCCAGAAGTTGCTTCTTGAAATATTATTTCTTCTTATTTAATATTGGCAAAGCATTTTCACCTGGACTGGAACTCCGCCAGAGAGTTTGATGGGTCCTAAAAAAACGCACGCAGGTGGATTTGAGGGCAGGGCCACTGTGCACCTTCACACTGGAGACACTCCTGAACACGGGGGCCGAGCAGCTGGTCGCCACAACATGCAGGAGGCTCGCCATGGTGCGCTCACGCTGTGGGGTGGGGGGGCCTCGACAGGACAGACAGCAGCCCTCCTGAAGAGAAAGGATGTTGGACACAGGCCAGAAGATAAAGAGAGAGTGGTTAGAGGTTCAAAAGGATACAAGTGTGGACAAGTGACATGAAAATAAGAATGTCAATAGTTTTCTAAAGAGGATCCAGAGGAAAGCTACATGTTTCACTAGAAGCATGCGTGTGACCTTTAACTACGCAACAGGCCGCATTTGTTGCCAAGTAGGTTTCACGGAAATACAGGCTTAAGTTGTGTGTCTTCTGTAAGAAAGAGCATGAAAATATTGTTCTAAGGTCTTAGCATGGGCTAAAATACTAAACAGTCACACATGACAGTGCATTTACACTAAAATCAGATAATGGGACTACAATAAACTGGTGCTGGAGGCTGGTGTGGCACCTTGGGTGATAAGGTCATTAATACATGTTGGGGTATTGACTATAATTTAGATTTTCAACTTCACACTTAGATCAAAGAAAAAGTAAATCAATTTGCAGCTTTTCTCTTATTTGTATCTTGGAGTGTGTATTGTTGTTTAAGAAATCTAGTATTTTGATTTTGCTTATACAAATGTCAATCTATAGTATTTTAATTACAGGAAAACACATTTAAACCCCCTGTATAACATCAGTGTAAAACGTCTATGGGATTGTCTTATGTAAACAAAACAAAAATATTGGATTATTCATGCACTTACTATTATTGAACATTATAATCATACAGATATTTAATTTTTGCACATTGCAGAGCAATGCTCAGGTGAAAAGGTATCCAAAATAAGAGCAAAAAGAAAATGACCTCTAAATAAAATACTATATTGTTGTACTAGCACTGAATTCAAACTAAGTCTCACATGCCACTCCTTTGAAAACCCCACATAATGTCTACTGACATGAACATGTTTGCTGCTTCGTAACAACGTGTTAAAATAAATCCCGTTAACGTTCTCCAGTTACTAGTCAGCAAAGTAACACATTCAGTGAAATCCACACAAATTGCCTTGAGCACAAAGACGCTACTTTACAACGGTCATCGGTTTTGTTATGTAGCATTTTAGATAAATCGGTTGTTGCTGTTTTCCACTGGGAACCAGAGTCCCGATCATCCACGCAGGCACTTTTCTTTTTGCCCCCTGTGCTGTGAAACACAACGCAGTGGAAGCTAACATGCTAACCGGTGCGTTAGCTGGCGGAAAACAACATAAGTCAGAACTGTTCACTATTGTAGGTAATGTATGAGTCAGGAAATTACTCCGCGCACTCATGACATGCAAACCGAAACAACTGCAATGTGAAATGTGAAAGTAGTGAGGTTAATGACGAATAACTAGACTGACCTTTGCAAAAAGCCCTGTGCAGCAGAAGCGAACTTTCAGTGGACCCGGAAGTAGTTTCATAAACCGCGACTGGTGTTATGTTGAGTTGTGTTCGCCCATCGAAAGGTGTTCATTCAAAAGCTTCATTTCGTTTTTAACGTTTTTAGAAACTACAAATTTTTGAGAAAAACACCAGACGTTAGTTTTTGTACTTTATTGTCATTTTCTGTCACCTGTACCCGAAGAGACACTTCCTGATTCCTGAATGTCACAATTAAAGACGTTTCTCTTGTTTTCAGAGGTAAACTTAGATTCGTGACCAACTGACCAGTTACTTCATTAAGTACATATCCTGATAATGATTTTTTAAAGTAAAATTTACATTAGTCAGGTAACCCATTTATTATGACTGGATGGGGCACTTTTCAAACGGTAAAATATTTCGACATAACAACGGCACAGAGATTATTATGTGCATCACAGAAGTATTTCTGCTGAGCTTTCACCTTAATCAGACTGGGCACAAACTCACAAACTCCCCAAAATGTGCATATATTTTATCAAACATGCGTTTCTGTGCTGATGTTATTCTGAAGGTCAAGAGGAAGCAGATTTCAAACTACTACATCTACGACCATCCAATGTTTTAAAAAAAGACCCATAACATAATTTAAATACAGCTACAACTCTTCAATACCACTGAGGGGCGCTATAATACACCTCAAGTTCAAACCTGTACACGTGTTCAGTTCAGGTCATGGAAAGACTAACTTCTAGTTTATCAAGGAATAACTAAATATGAGCTGTTTCCTGATTTTAATTTATTTTTGTCTGTGCTCAAACTTATACCACCTCAAACTGAGCACAAAACACTAGACCTATAGTCCTGGACAAAGGTTTTCCACGTTTCTAGGCTGGCGGCCTCATCAGAGCAAAGTCATTTCGTCTAGACTAACATTTTTCATGATTTTCTTGTCATTTTAAATGATCTTGATAAATAATTATTGAGACAATTAAAAGATAAAAAAAATTGGCAAAATTTCCACTGAATTCTAATAGCAGATAATTTTCATAGGTTTACCTTGTGCAAAAAAGTGAAGTGGCTAATAATATATATTTGAATATCGTTAAATAAAAATGATTCAACTCCCGGGTCCACTGATCTAGGACTTTGTTGGATATTTCACCTGTTTTTACTTTAGGCCTAAACGTAGTTGTCCTCCCAGTTGCCTACTTCCCATTTTTAAAGCAAAACACTGAATCAACATGTACAAGCAGCCAAAAAGGAGTAAAAAACAGGTAAGTTTCACAACTGGCACTGTCGCACTTGTTTTGTTAATTAAAGTAAAACTGGATGTTGTCATAAACTTAAAAAAAAATCTTAAAAAAAAATTGGTTTATAATTTTTTTATAATCTCATAGAGTTTAATGTTTCCTGACTTCCCTTTAACTTTCTTTACAGACCTCATGTCTTTCTGACTGCATGGCTCACTTCTCTAAAACTAATGGTACGCATGAAGTTCGGTGTGTATGGTGGGCAAAAATGGGGTTTTCTTTGTCTTATCCAAAAATATTAGCATCTAAGAATACAAAAAAGAAAGAAAACAATCTTTTATATAGCGCCTCTCAAGATAAAAATCACAAGGCGCTTCACATAAACAAAAAAAAAATTTCAATAAATTATTAAAAATATGTTTAAAATGAGAAAGAAAAAATGAAATTGTGATAAAAAAAAATAATAATGTAAGGAAAAGGAGAGAGAAAATACATAGGAAAGAGGGAAATCAGTGGATCATGGGAAAGGTAGAATAAGTAGAAAGAGCAGAATAAGGAAAGGGTGGTGATGAAGAATCAGAATCAGAAAAACTTTATTTATCCCTGAGGGGCAATTAAAAAAAATAACAGCAGAGCAGCATGATATTGGACATACGAACATTGAATAAAAAGGCAATAAGGAAATAATAAAGCAGCAAGAAGATGGATAAAACAGAAAAATGTGCAAAAAACACTGAGATGGATAAAACAGTAAAGAATGCAAAAATCACTGAGTAAGTGAATAAAGTGACTAAAGTGTCATCTGTATAAAAGTTAAATATATGGAGAGCCCAGGGAGAGGGTTTATCGGGGGATGGTCTTAGGGGTAGCAGTAGCTCAGGTGGTAGAGCGGGTTGCCTCATGATCGGAAGGTCATGGGTTTGATTCCAGCTCCTGCCAGGGGTATCCTGCTGTTGTGTCCTTGGGCAAGACACTTCACCCAATTTGCCTGTGTTAGTGGTGGTCAGAGGGGCCGATGGCGCCAAATGGCAGCCTCGCCTCTGTCAGACCACCCCAGGGCGGCTGTGGCTACAAGTAGCTTACCATCACTAGCAGTGTAGAAGAGTAGAGGCCCCAGCACAGAGCCTTGTGGGACACCATGAGAGAGGGATGTGGTGAAGGACAGAAACTTGGAGACAGCCACAGAGAAGGAACACTCAGACACATGAGAACCACTCCAGAGCAGATCCTGATAGACCAACCCAGTCTCTCAACCTATCCAGTAGCAGGTGATGGTCAACAGTGTGGCTTCAGTCAGGTCCAGCAGGACCAGAACAGAACAGTCCCCTGCATCACTCAGTGCGTTTACATGCAGCCAGTAACCCTTTTAAAACCCGAATATTCACAATAACCTGGTTCCGCGGGTCCTTGTAAACACTGCCAAAAACCCGGATATGCTCATAACCGGGTTTTTAAAAACCCGGTTACTACACCTGGGGTAACCCTTTTCTAACCCGAATGTTTGGTCGTGTAAACGCATATCGGGATATCCCCATCAAAGCGTGTGTTCTGCGCATGCTCTGTTCACAAAGAATCTTGGTCTTTTGAGTAGCGAGACATCTTGTATGCGCCAGAACACCGGAAGTAAACAACAAGTTGGGGGCAAAATGGCGAGTTGCGGCACAGCATCACACTTTGAGTGATGAGTAAACTAAAGCGCAAACAAACGCGGTCACTATCTCTTCCGAACTGGGAAACATGTTGTTGTTTTCACGGATACCAAAACAAGAAGAACCGGAAATGACGCATATTGGGTCTGGACATAGTCCATATGTCCTGACGCTACCCCAACGTCCGCATTTAAATCGGGTTATGCAAGTTAGAGGTAACTCTTTCTATTTATGCTTGTAAACGGGTTATTCTGATCAACTCAGAAACCCGAATCCCGACCTTAACCCGATCATAACCAGGATATTGGCTGCATGTAAACGTACTGACTGTGAGTCAGAAAGTCATTAGAGACCCTAAAAAGAGCTGTTTCAGTAGGATGAGTTATATGAAAACCTGACTGGAAGATATCATAGATGTTATGTTCACCAAGAGCAGCTGTGGGTTGTTAAGCCACAACTTTTCCAAGATCTTGGAGATGAACGGAAGTTTAGAGATGGGTCTGAAGCTGCTATGGAGAGAAGAGTCAAGACTCGTTTTTTTAGGAAGCGGGTGGATTATCTCGTTCTTAAAGTAAGAAGGGAACTGACCAGAAACCAGAGAGGCATTAATTTTATGGGCCATTCCCATCTGTACCTGGTCGGCCCGGCCCGAATAGCATAGCTTGCTTACATATCTTGGTGGCCTGCCTTTTTTCAGGGTGCAACAAAACTGTTTTTCAGCCCTCTTTCTGAGGTGGTCTGCTTCAGGCTGACCAGGGCCAACACACCCACTGCTGACAGCAAATTCACACCTTCCATTAGAGCAAGCCTCTGATTGGTGGGTAGAATCAGCCCACATGGGCTTAAGGCATGCTCAATTCATAATCATTCATTACCATGCTGATTACCTAGAAGCTGAAAATGTCTGTGACTGCATTCCTTGCGTACCTAAGCAAGGATGTGTGGAATCAACTGGGCCAGGCTGGGGCCGACTGGAGCTATCCAGGCAGGGCCGACCAGGTACAGATGGGAACGGCCCAATAGAGAGCACGCTGGGACCGATGGACTGAAAAGCACTTTTAAAGAAAGTAGGATGTCGAGGGTGTATGCAGAGGTCTTCATGGAGGTAAGTTTTGTTACCTCAGGCAAAGAAACAGGAGTAAAGCTAGGATGATGGGCCGGGTTGGAGTCGGGAGAGGCAGAGATAAGCCTGAAGGAGAGATGCTAGATCTGACCTTATTGACTTTGTCCACAAAGAAAGACAGAAAGTTCTCACAGTTTGCAACAGAGTGGATGTAGGCTGCAGGAGAGGCAGGAGAGACAATACTGCTGATGGTGTTAAACAGCACCTTGAGGTTCCCTTTGCTCTGGGACACCAGGTTGGAGAAATAAGCAACCCTTCTGTCTCTGACTGCAGAGTTAAAGGATGTGAGGTCCTTTAGATGCAGCAGATGGACGTGGGGGCGGGTTTTCTTTCACAAGTGCTAGCGCAAGGGTATTTATAAAGCTCCTTTCACAATAACAATGACAAGATGCTTTACAAACACAGTAAAACCATGTAAATTAAAACTAAAAATAATAATAAACTAAAACAAAAAAGTACAAATATGTATAAAAATACAAAATAACGGGAGCCTGAAAAAATCTAGGAATGACAGAAACAGCATGAAGAGAAGCTAATGAGGAAGAAGAGGATAAACAAGGGTTCATCAGCTTGAACAGATGAGTTTTTAGCTGCCTTTGCAAAGGTCTATAAATATGAGCGAAAAGGAAATACAACTACTTACAAATCTTCAAAACTCAATATCTCTGAAAATGATTGATGGATGACAAACCAAAGAGACATTGTGTTCATAAGATAGAACTGCTCTGGGGTTAATGGAGTTATTCCTTTAACCCTTTGATGCATGAATTATGAAATCTTCAACCATGATTTAAAAAAAAAAACTTTTCATTCGTCTTTAGGTGTGAATGAAACAAATTTCAACAAATATTCTTTGTAAAATTTTATAATTTACAAATAATTTATTACATGTCCACCTCAGTGGACAGTGTGTATTCTGAGCATGAAATATGTTGGCTTGGCTTACTGAAGTCCAAACGGAGGGGCTCAAATGCAATAAAGTCTTCAACAGCTGTGCTTAATAGCCAAAACAAATAAATAACTACTTTGAGTACCTGTCCACTGTAGTGACCATTATGCATCAAAGGGTTAAATACAAAACTCAATTTCACTTTGAAATCCTGAAACATAAAACCAAACGGCTGCTTTCCATCTCATCTCATTCCATTGTGAATGAGCTTAGCGACAGAAAAAAAATGACATTATCTCTCTAAAGTGTGCTCATTCTTTATATTTTTAGTTAGCATTTTTCCATTTAAGCAAATATTTCCAAATGAAAAGTTATTTTCAGCTCACAAAGTTGCTCCCACTATGTAACTCTATTTGAAATGCAGCCTGATGATCGGAGCCACTCGGGTTTCCAGTCACGTCATTTGCATTCTCTGACCACAGTTTCAGTTAATTAATCTGATGGCTTTCATGAATGGCTCCAGTAGTTTCTCTTTGTGCCCCAACATATTTATCACTAACCTGAATAGGCTCATATACAGTGTGTACAGAACAACTTTTCTTCTTTTTCTCATCTGTTTCTTTTTATCAGGCTCAGAGTGTGGAATGCATTGTTGCCATGCCTGCTTCTCATTTTGGCTTAGTTTTTTAGTTTTTGGTACTGTTGATTTTTTTGACAAAACATGGCACTAAAGGGGTTAAATCTCAAAAACACTCAATTATTTTACTATGTTTGGTGAGGACTGAAGCTAAGGAAAGAATCTGTGAAAAAAATTATTTGACTTTTGAAATATTATATTTTTTGTTATACATTTTGCTAAAATGCCTTTTTTTGTGCAAGGGTCCCCAGTGTAGCTTTTTTCAAGGAACCTCCAGGGTTAAAATATGTTTTTGTTGTGACTATCAAACTAGTCAAATAAATGCAATATGAATAGGAACTGTTTAACTATTTTAATATATGTTCAAGTCTAAGAAAGATGACTGAATGAAACTTCTGTATTGCTAAATGGATTTAACTCGTAACTTAAAAATACATTTAAAGAGGACATTTAATGCAAAACTCACCTTTTGCATCATTTTTCAGCACATATGGGTCTCCAAAACCTCTATAAACACTCCAAACGTGAAAAGACAAGCCATCTTTTTTCTGTCAGTGTTTGGTTTTAGGAATTGTGTGCCTACAACAAGCCATTTCAAAAAGTCCCCGTTTGTGATGTCACAATCAGGAATTTGCACAGAACCTCTTCAGGCTGGAGGAGCAGCAGCTCTACGCCAAGCCCCTCCCAGGTATCAGAGCTTCTCAGCTTATAGCAGCTTAAGAGGGGGATGGGTAGGTTTGACCAGCTCCAGATTGTTTTCTTAAAGTGATAGAGCCCTGAAATGGCTCAATCTGGAAGGTATTGAAAATGTCAAGAATAAAACCATTGAAATTGTTTGATGTGAAAGGGATTTACTGCAAAGAATTTCATAAACATTCGTATTGAAAATCTATCGGTCTTTTGAAAAAAACTATTCTGTTTTGTTCCTTTGGATTAGACTGCAGATAAATAGACGTGATTACATTTTGTTATCTGCATTTACAATATTATGGCATTTATACTATAAATTAAGATGATTCAATGATCAGATGTGAAATTTGAGACTTGTGTGGGACGTAAACTGGTCGAGAATTCAGGGGAGTGACTCTAGCAGGGGTCATTTTGCTTTGGGTGGCTTTTTTTCCATAAAACTTCTTTGACCTCATGGGAACCTGATCTAAACATCACCATCTGTTCTCAAGTTTGAGTTATTTATGGCTTTAATGTCTTTTCCTTTTTTGTCACCCTGGTGAGCAAATAGGTCAGGGGTGAACTGCTTTAACTTCTTGTAAATTTATACTTTCAACAATTTCCTCTTTTCCTAACCATTTCCCTTTTGAACTGCTGAACATTTTTAATAAACATTGCCCCATGTAGATTAAAAACTCACTGTGGGTAATCTGATGTTTTATTGAAGTGATTTTGTTTTCATTGACCCACTTTAGAAGCAACCAGACATCCTGCAGGTGTAGATCCAGCCTCTTGCTAAGTGCAAGGTGTCTTCCCTCTAACTGTCTTACAAATGCCATGCGGCAGCAAGTGTGTTTTAACACGTTCATGAGTGTAAATGTGCACATGTGGAAGCTCTGGAGAGCCTGTAAGCACCTGTGTTTGTACTCATGCTGGTGGTCACTGTTTGGGAATACAAAGCAGAATCTCATAAAATGTGTGTGTGTGTGTGTGTGTGTGTGTGTGTGTGTGTGTGTGTGTGTGTGTGTGTGTGTGTGTGTGTGTGTGTGTGTGTGTGTGTGTGTGTGTGTGTGTGTGTGTGGGTGTGTGTGTGTATTTTCCCTACAAGAAATCACTTTGAAGTTTCAGAAAATTCCAGGGGATTCCTGTTAACAATCCTGGACTATAATGTGAACCAGGTGTGTGTGTGTGCATGTGCGTGTGCATGTGCGTGTGCGTGTGCGTGTGTGTGTGTGTGTGTGTGTGTGTGTGTGTGTGTGTGTGTGAGAGAGAGAGAGAGTCAGAAGAATGTTTCTGCAGCCAGTCTCTTGGCTGCAGAAACTGGCTGCAGAAACGAGCTGACGTCTCAGAAGAGTTTGCCGTCCATTTTTACTTTCAAGGTTTCAGATTCGATCTGCAGTTTTCCGCCTTATAGAACATGAGGAGAGGCTTTGATTCGGGATTCAGAAATGATGGAAACTTCTCATCTGGATTGTTTTAAAGCTTTCTTAGTTCTGGATAAACTATTTTAAACAACGACCAAATCCTAATCTGTTTCAGATGTAGCTCCTCATTCCAGACAACATTACAAATACGTGTTTGCTTTCTAGATGAGAATTTATGAGCTGCTGACCGCCGATTCAATTGATCACCGAGGTGGTTTGTCAGCAATGTCAGGAAGGATGCATCATTTGTGTACCTCTCGCCACCTGATGTTGTCGGCCTCTTTGTTGAGCCTCATGTGCCTGAGTTCGGTCACCGCCTGGCCTGGAATTCCTGGGAACAAGCCAAAGGACCATTTGGACCCAAATGTGAGAGACTGGGGGGACTACTCAGACCTCCCGGCTGAAATCGAACATGGACTGGGACTGGTAGAGGACAGGGAAGACAACAGGGGAGCTGGAGAATCATCGTCAAACTTGGCTCCAGAGCTAGATTTTTTGGCTGACTTTGCAGGCAGGTGAAATGAACTGATCAGCTGATTTTTTCCTGTAACCTTTACTGCAAATAATTTACAGTTCACGCAACTCCAATGTCCACTCCAGGTAAGAAACGGCTGTGGGTAATAACAGCGTCATCACACAATGACCATTACCTTCATATGATGGAGAAACAACTAGAGGAGATGGATCAGGTATAAAACTTTTCTTCTGGTATTTTTCTCACTCAGTCAACAGATCTGTTTTTCTGTTAGTTTTTGTCTCTTTCTTAATCTCAGAGAGGCCTGAACTGTCGTCTAGCAGAGAGAGACACCTTCATCATCACTATCATCCAGAATGCCATGATGGAAGGTCGCATCCAGAAAACTACTTTCCAAGGGGATGCCATGGTGGAGAGCTTGGATCCCGACACAGTCGCCAAACTGCTGCACTACCTGGAACTAACCAGCCAAGTAAACAGTCTGCTGAAAGACTGAGTCACTTTAAGTTTATTTCTGTCATCATCAGAGCTGTTGTGTTTTTGTTCTGCTCCTGAACCGGGGTTAATGACAATCATTACAGGAACAAGCTTTCAACATGCTGGTTATGAAGAAGAACCTGCAGGTCAGCGAGCGTTTCCCTTATCCAGTCCGGGTGGACGCCATTTTTGAGCTCATTGATCAGTTCCCCATGAGGAAGCTGGAGAAGATAACTAGAAAAGGATCTACCTTAAGGTTCTTGTTCCATTCAGCTCATTTTATTGCATGAACAAGGAAAAGTTCAAATAAATAGCAATCTATTTGCATAGCTTTGGGTCAGATGGTTCAAAACAGGTTCTGAATGATATTAGCAAACAACTTGTGTTTGAAAGATTTTTAGGTTCTGTGCTTTTGAGTGAAACAGGAGCTGGTTTCTTTCTTTCAAACCCAAATGACGAGATTCCCAGTAATTCTCAGTAGTTATGAGCAATTGTTTACATGGTAAAAAGCCAAATGTAGATAATCACACAAACTCAGCATTAGACAATACAGCTGTGGTCAGATGTTTTTAGAATGACACAAGCAGTGGTGGCTTTTTTCACATATTTGCATCAAAATTTCCCATGGTTTACCTAAAAGGGCCATCGTCTATATTTAGACTCTTCCACTCACACCATAAATGACATCCGTTTGCCTTTTCACAGAACTAATCATCAAAGGTCAAACTAGGCACAGTTTGCGCCATGGCACCATTCCACCAATCAGTGCGGGGCTATGACGCCCCGAATATCGGTGTGTCTGCAGAGCCAGAAAACAGCTTGGTTTCCTCTTGTGTTTAAAACTAAACTAACAATCCTGGGTTTATGAAGGTTGACTTGTGCTAGATAAGGATACATGTGTTGTAAATGTTAAAATCAATGAAGTTGGTGAAATCATGGCATGAAAAATCAAAGCTGCCATATTTGAACATAGGTCTTGAACAAGTAAAATAAATGATGTATATTTTTAGGTAAAATCTGTTTTTTTAGATATACTCTTCATAATCATGGTAACAGTATTAATAATTATATTTCATATATTTTAATGGAGGAGGATGGTTAATGTGCCCATCAATCTCACCATCAGTGATGATGATGATGATGATGAAGAGGAAGATGATGACCCTGAAATCCTCAAATATATACAGTAATATTCTAACATATTCTAATAATGTACAGTACAGGACAAAAGTTTGGACACATCTTCTCATTCAATGTGTTTTCTTTATCTTCATGACCATTTACGTTGGGAGATTCTCACTGAAGGCATCAAAACTATGAATGAACACATGTGGAGTTATGTACTTAACCAGAAAAGGTGAAATAACTGAAAACATGTTTTATATTCTATTTTCTTCAAAATAGCCACCCTTTGTTCTGATTACTGCTTTACATACAATTGGCATTCTCTTGATGAGCTTCAAGAGGTAGTCACCTGAAATGTTTTCAAACAGTCTTGAAGGAGTTCCCAGAGGTGTTTAGCACTTGTTGCCCCTTTGTAAATGGTCATGGTCATGAAGATAACAAAAACACACTGAATGAGAAGGTGTGTCCAAACACTAGGCCACTGAGAAGGTGCTCAATTATATACCACACTAACACCCTGGGGTTGACATTTTAATATCTTAACTACTTCAATGAATGCCTTATTACGGGTTAGGTATAAATATTAAGGGTTAAGTGTAATCATTAGCCTTTTATAGATTTTCATGAAAATTATTGATAATTATTAAGCAGTGTTCATCCTTCTTTTTATAGATGTTTGAATTTTACCTGCAGCTTGCTGTCAAACAACTACTTCTCCCAGAGCTGATTAGTCATGAATATTGTAGTAGCTAAAAATAGGTTGTGACGTAACATCACAATGCATTGTGGGATGTAGCCCTAGACAAACAAGCGTATCTTTTGAATGGGTGCCTATGGGTCTGAGTGGCTTCACTCGTCTGAAGAATGTAGTTTTGTCTCCTAAATATGTTCAAACAGGAAGGAACTAAGCACCACTGTCAAGGGTGGAGCAAAATGGACTCTATACCCAGATCGGATGTCAGAGGGGACATTTTTTTTATCCTTTTTCCAAAGCCGGGTAAGGTTCATGACAATATGAAACAGCTGGAAAGCGAAACGAGTCAAGCTAAAGACAGAAAAAGCAACGTGATGGCAATTTTTATGTGGAAGAGTGGATTTTCACAGTGTGGAGCAGGGGGTAAATATTTGCTCTTACATTTTGCTGGTGGTAAAGGTCCTTTGTCTGAGAAAGACGAGCTGATACTAGCAACTCTCTCAGATGTGGCGTTATCCAGGAGGCAGCGATATAAGCAAAGGGGTCCAGCTAAACGCCTTGGCCAAACAGGTGAGCGGCATGTAAAAAGTAGTGACATAGACCTAAAAAAGAACCTAGAGAAAATATTACTTGAGCACTGTGAGTAATGAGTAACCATTTGAGCATAAAAGCAAAAAATGTGTTTCTGTAGATTTGTTTTTATCGACATCCATGTTCTCTGTCCGTGTATTTTTAATTGGCAAATACGGTGTGGGCAGGACAAGACTGATCTTAGAGCTCACCTGTTTTTTCTGTATGTAACAGAGAACAATCCACAGCAGTCCAACATCTGGACCTTGAAAGAAAATCAGTCTGTCCCTGCTCATTTCTCGCTCTAGTATACAGCAACACTTCACTTTGTTTCCGAGGCTAGTTTTACATTTTTGACCCAACGTTGGAACCTTTTCTGCCATCATTCCTAATATAACCCACTTATGTAGCCTTTTGACAGTTTAGTATGCTAGCTAAGATAATGTGACATTTTAAGTATGAAAAGCAAGCAGTACAGCAGCTCAGTTCCACCAACAATCTGGGAAACCCCACAGACAACCAAGCTGAACTTCCAGAACCCGGCACAACCCTCCTCCCGCTTGCTCCACTATCTCCTCTTGAGCAGAACAGAACATGTAAAACTACTCCTTAAATTATATATACAAATGACAACTGGAACATTCCATCTGTAGACAGCCCAGCTCTGGCTTTGCTTCCCGTTCAGCTGCTCCAAGCTGAGAAGTGTGATTCGTGTCAGAGGAGCAGTGTGATGGATGGATCGTGAACCAGTCGCTAAGAACGGGACGTGAACAATGATTGGATGAGATTTTGTATGTTTCAGAGGCGAATACAATTTTACGGTTTGTGACAAAACATTTAATTTATCGGTTGCCATCAGTATGTGAAGAGCATTTCAAGCTTTATGGCAAAACATGCTCCTCAAAAAGACCATTCTGCATCTTTAAGTTCGGTCCCTTTAATCAAATTTGAAAACATTCTGGAATTTATGTAAACTGCTGAAAACTCAGTCAGAAACTATTTGTGTCATTCTCAAAATGTTGTGGCCACTGGCTTGGAGGAAATGTATGCAATTTCAATAAGAGCAAATGTTCATATTAAAACAAACATCAGACCAAGTTTAAATCTCTATGCAATGATTTTTTCCCTTTGTACTTTATTGATAAGATTTTTTAACAATTTCATTAGTTCGTAGGAGCTGCACCTTCCCAGATACAGTTTCATAATTGTGACATTCTATGTTTTAGATGTAAAACTGCCAAGAAGAAGGTTGTGGTGAAACGCAAAAAGGTGATGAAGAAGATGATGCCGAATTCTCAGATGGAGGGAAATGTAACCTCAGTGCCGGTTTTGCAAAAGAAACCTTTGGACAAAAAAGCTGTTCTGAAGAGTAAAATCCAGGACATCCTGAGTGGGCGGTCGAGGTTTGTGATCCGTAAAGGGGCGGCTGGATCTGCAAAGGACAAAGAGTCACGCAGCAATGGCTGGGAACCATCTAAAGAATCCAGTCTGTTAACTGTTCCAAAGACTAACGAGAAAGTGAAGAAGGATAGGTACCATCATCTTTGTGCTCGTTAACTGTTTGAATTCATCATTTGAAGGATTCATAATGTTGTGCCATGTTTTGGCAGGCCTCCCTCTGAAGATGGACAGAAAACAGAGAGAGATCAAGACATCCAAGATAAAGAGGAGCCAAATAAAAAGTCTGATTCAGAGAGCAAACAGAGCTCCAAGAAAAAGGGTAAAGGAAAGAAAGGAAAGAAAGGAAAAGGAAGGGGGAAAAAGTCAAACCAAGAAGTAAGTGAGGAAGATAAAGCAGCGCTGGGGAGGTTTTTGGACACTCTGAGAGGCTCCAGGAGGTTGATGGTGAGAAAGTTTTACAATTCTGTATTTTCTTTGTTTTGGTTTCTGAGTATTTATTTTTCCAACAAGAACCATGATGAACTGAACATCAGAGTGTGTCTGTTTTTTGTGCTCAAGCTAATCTCAACACCCAGCAGAGATGCTACGCTGTTCATCCAGCAGACTGAGGAGAACAAGAGACATCAGTGTGAGCTCGCTGTCAGAAAGATAACGGTGGTGACCAGTGTGGGTGAGGGAAGTGACGCCACGCTCACTCTGCGGCACCAGCAGCTTGGTAGGACTACGCTTAGAGTTATTTACTTCTATTTGGTTGTCTTGCTCCCAGATGTCAATTGGTTGTTCCCTGCAAATGTCATCAAGACGTTAGTGTTATTTCAATCATTTAACTGCTCTTGTAAAAATAAAAAATAAAACATCAAATGAAGGTCCACAATAGGAAAACAGTAAATGTATTCAGCTAATGCAAAAAGTAAAATTTTTTTTGTAATTAACTTCTCCAGTTTCCCACAACTTTTGAGTTAGCTGTTAGGTACATTTAAAAAAGGTTAAAGGTGTTTTTCCCAGTGGTGGTTATTGAATAAAACCCAGGGTTCCCCTGTGCAAGTAATCTCATTACTTAGGCTAAAATGAGCATCAATATTGTCCCTCTACTCCAGTTCTCTGTTAAATTGATTTGAAAAACACTCAAGATGCCCCTCAAGAAGAATAGCTCTGCAATATGTTGGGAGCTAATGAGGTTCTCGATAAAAAATACTTACATTTTAACTCAGCTCACTTTGCTCTTTGTTAATAACTTCTATGATGACATTGTGACACATCTTCACCAAGTCTTGTGCAGGACATGACATCACCAGTGGTTTTTCACTGATCACTGAGGGGCAAGTGATGCAGTTTAAAACAGTGTAGGTTCCTCCTCTGCCCTTCTAGTTGGAAGTAGAATTACAACCCTGCAGCAGCCTGGTGTAGCTAACACTAACAATGAGCTAACACTAACATGAGCCAACAATACTAAAATAAACAACAAAATAAAAAGTTCCACACTGTTGGGCAAAAATATTTTTATTTACAAGTCCAGTAGCAACAAAGGTAGGTCACCATCAGTCTGTGATTTTGTAGCCTTATTTAGCTCCCTCAAACTAGCATAGGCTGTGCCGATGTTTACTCTGGTTTTGGCTCTTCACTTCCAAATACATTACTCTCTTACTTTTACTTCTAGGCCCCGCATGATGCCAACAGAAAATCTAACTTTGTCTTTTTCTTCTTCTTGTGCTTTTTACTGCTGATTGACGAACTGACAAAACTAACTGCTAATGTAATAGCTAACAGCCTCAGAGCAGGTAAAGAGCACCCTCAGGACACCTACACAGTCCACAAAACTGTTAAGTGCAGCATCTGGCCATCAGAGGACTGCAGGGTGGTGTCAAATATGAAACTTTTCAAGTTTATAACTCAACAATCACTGAGAACAATGTTAAAGTTCTAGCTTAAAGTTAAAAAAACATTTAGTGATACTTTTATAGTCTGTTCACTGTGTTTTTTCTGTTTTCTGTTTGTGTATTTCAGGGTCTCCCCTCAGCGACCAATCAGAACAGGTTTTGGACTCTCGTCTAATTCCCCTGTTAAGATCTGAGCTTGGCCTGTCGACCTCTGACCTCTTCTCAATGACCGTGACTGATCATGACATTCAGCCCAAAGTAAGAGACAGTGTTACTGCATGAAAATGTTTAAATAAATAAAACAACTCAGTCAGTTTTCTCTGGAGTTATGGAAAAAAATGGCAAGAATCAGTTAACAGCATTTATTTGAATATCACTTTGTATTTGACTCAGTTTTATCTCTTTTCAATAACTTCCTCTTATTTTTGCCGCAGAGAGTCTTTGAAGCTCCCCCGTCAAGCTCAACTTTATTTGAGTACATTGATAACTTTTCTTCAAGATATGCAGAAAAAGAAAAGGAGAGGAAAAGTCTTCCAGTTTGCTCTAAAGACACCCAGGATCCTAGAGCGGAAAACTCCTTGCTCAGGTGGACAACACACAGAATGACCAAAAAATAAATGAAGATCATTTCTGGAAAAGTGACACAAATTTCACATTGTTTTCTTGTTAATTTACCAAATAAACTGCCTGGCTAAAAACATGTTGCAACCTGGATCTAACTACTGTAACTAAATAGGTAGGAGCCTCCTATTGGATATGTACTGCACGGGTGATTATCGTTTAGCTGCAACAAGTTATTTAACCCCAACTGGTGGAATCAGGTGCTTCTCATTTCTTTAACAACCACATGGAAAGACAAATCTGGTGGTCGTGGAAAAGATGTTAGTCTGTTTGAGAAGGGTCAGATCATTGGCATGCAAAAAGCAGAGAAAACATCTATGGAGATTGAGAAACGACTAAAACTGGGTTAAGAACTGGCTAATGCATTATTAAAAACTGGTCTGATGAGTCCTAATGGACCCTGTTCCAGAGTGATGGGTGCATCAGCGTAAGAAGAGAGGCAGATGAAGTGATGCCATCATGCCTAGTGCCTACTGTATAAGCCTGTGGGGGCAGTGCTAGGATCAAGGCTTGCTGCAGCTGGTCAGGTCTAGGTTCAGCAACAGGATGTGATACAAGAATGAGGTCAGCTGACTACCTGAGTATACTGAATGACCAGGTTATTCCATCTTCCCTGATGGCAATGCCAGGATTCATCAGGCTCAGATAATAAAAGAGTGATTCAGGCAGCATGAGACGTCATTTCCACACATGGACTGGCCACCAGAGTCCAGACCTTAACCCCATTGAGGAATGTGCTGGAGAAGGCTTTGTGCAGTGGTCAGACTCCACCATCATCAATGCAAGATCTTGGTGAAACATTAATGCAACACTGGATGGAAATAAACCTTGTGATGTTGCAGAAACTTATTAAAACAATGCCACAGCGAAAGTGTGCTGTTATCAAAACCAAACTTGATCTAACAAAACATGAGTGTGTGACCTATTTTTTTTGGGTGGCAACTTTTTTGGGGGGCCAGGCGACTGGGTGTTACTGAGTAGGGCTAACATTTATTGGTGTCTACATTTACGTTTAGGTTTATGTCTAAGCGGAGACTGTTGCTGATCTCTGCTCCCTCTGATGATGACTACTCCTTCCAGCAGCAAATCTCTGCTCTCAGTGGTCAGGAGTGCAGCCTGGGTGAGTTTCTGAGTATCTCAGCTTCTTTTCTGAATCATGAAAACTTCATAGAGCCAGGGTTACCCTCTGATTATGAGGACCGCTGATCTTGTTTGGCCACCATTATACATGCTGTTCACTGGAGCATTTTTAATAACATTTTAAAGTTTACAGTTTTGTGAGAAAGTATTTATCTCCTCACAGGCGTCTTTTTTCCCCGTTTTTGTCACATTTAAAAATTTCAGATCAACAAATAAAAAAATAAAGAAGACAAAATGCATTTTATATTTACTCAGGTTTTAACAGATAATTAAGTGTTTCTTAATCTGAAACATTCAAGTCAAACAAAACAATCTAAAAATCTTTTTAAGGTGGTATTATTTTCACATAACTTCATGCTTTGTGTGCTCTTTTAACCCTTCAGGTATTCGCCACTTTGCCATGTTAAAATTGACTGGAAATGGAGAAAAAGCATCAGGGACTGTCGAGTTACTCCCAATAAATGGTACGTAACCCTTTTACAGAACTGTGCAAGTGCACAAGTCAATATTGCTACCCAAAATAGAGATATTTTTCACAATATTGTGACTAAAAATTATACAATAATTTCATAATCATAAGCTGTGGCAAACTTTTGTTTCTTCATCAGCTTTCACTGTGTGTCATTTCCTTTTCCAGGTCGTAGTCAGAGTGAGGTAGAGCCATTATCACGCGACATGGTGAACAACCTGAGAGAACAGCTCAAAATCAGTAAGGACTACTTCAGTTTGGTGGTTGTGGGAAAAGACGGTGATGTCAAGGCATGGTTCCCATCCCCCCTGTGGTCCCTGGATAACATCTATGACCTGGTGGACTCTATGGAGCTTCGCGTCCAGGAGGCAAAGCTCCAGAAGAGACTAGGGATCAGCTGCCCTGAGACCGGAGGAGGAAGAGGTGGAGGCAGCGAAGAAGGGCGCTATCCTGGATATGACGAAGAAGAGGCAGAAAAGATGTACATGTAGTGGAAAGAAATAAGTAAACCATACAGGAACAACTGAAATAAACACGTGTGACTCAGAGGAAAGAGTTTATTAAAACAACATAAGTAGAGTTGATGCCACAACTAGAAGGATGGATATTCTCTAAATTAGCAAGAAATAGAAAAATCAGCTCTAAATAGTGAAACACTTCCCCACATATGTACATGAAAAAAATTTATAATTGTCAAATAAACAAATGATCCTGCCTTTAACTGTTTTTAATTTAGAAGAGAAAATTTCACATGAATTCTCCCCAAAACAAACAAAAATAAACCTTCATAATTCTTCAGAGTTGCTGAAATGTTTAGAGCGGCAGGCCAGACATAGTTAGAGTTAGACACTTGTTGGAAATTTTAAAGTATGGTTCACTTGTTAAATCATTACATTAGCAGTGGTCTCAAGGAATGAATGTCTTGTAAGTCGTACTCTGAGGTAAAAAAGGCCAGATGGACTTGTTTCGGGACCTAGCAGAATGCCACATCAGAGGAGAGCAGAACACAGCAAGACTTGGAGTCTTTCCCAATATTTGGACATCTTGACTCTGATTGGCTAACAGCAACATGACTCTACCACTGACTCAGTTTTTTTTTTTGCAACGTTGATGTTTTATCTCCACAAATAACACAAGCCTTGAGAAGTTCTGCTGTGTGGTAGAATTGCTTTTGCTAATGGTTAGCTTCTACTAGCCGAAATTTTGTGTCTGCTGTTGCCTGGATGCTAAACCAACAACAGCCTTCCCCATCTTGAGTCAAGATGGGTGAGTCCATGAATGTTAACTGACAATGTGACAAAGATCTGTCAGGATTTTTTGAACCAAGTGTTTTTCTGTCTATTTTCTATCAGAAGCTAATGCAGCAGATAGGTGTAGGATACTGTTATGTTCAGCCTGCATAAAAAACTCAGAATGGCTGATTATAATCAGAAATAATATTTAAAAATGTTTTTTTCAGTGACCCATACCGTTAAAATAGTGAAACACATCCTCACATATGTTAATGAAAATATCTTATCTTTAATTGTCAAATAAAGAAATTATCTTCTCTTTTGTTATTTTTATTTAAAGGAGAAAATCTCACATAAATTTTCTCTCTAAAAAAAACATCCTCAGTTTTTCATAGATTACTGCTGAAATATTTAGAGTGGCAGGCTAATCAGACATTAGAGTTAGGAATTGGGTGAAAATTAATTTTGGTAACACTTAACAATAAGGATCTCTTTATTAAAGTGACTTAGGTCATTGCTAAGCAATAATAAACTATTTAATAAAGTATTAAGAACTGCTTATGAAATGCATTACTAAGTAGACACCCCGTCCTTAAGGACACCTAATAGTTAAAATAATGGTTATGTTAATAAAGGGACCATTAATGTAAAGTTCATATGTGTGTGTGTGTGTGTGTGTGTGTGTATATATATATATATATATATATATATATATATATATATATATATATATATATATGTATATATATATATATATATATATATATATATATATATATATATGGTCTTTCAAACTGGAACAGCTGCAGAATGTAAAACCTTTGTAGTTATTTTGAATAATAAGGAACATAATATATATATATATATATATATATATATATATATATATATATATATATATATATATATATACATATATATATACAGTATATATATATACACCATTTAGCTGTCATATATTTAAAAATGTCAAATTTCAAGTTGAAAGGAATATTTAGATTTGGCGATGATGAGAAAGATTAGTGAAAAAGGGCAAGTTTGTGAACTGGAAACACAGGATTTGATAGTAAACGGATACAAATATTACACACTGGGCCTTTAAGGTAACACAATGAGATTTAACCTTCTGCTTGCTGGAGCAACTCCAGAGACTGTGCTGGCCTCTATGTTATAGTCAGAATGCTGGCTGGGTATTTATTTTTACATATTCATAAAGTCAACATTTGAAGCTTCAGCAGTTATTATTTACAGTCTCAAAATGTGAGGAATTTCCATAACCTGTAGACTGCACTTAACTGGGTCCAGTTTCATCATAGAACAAGAAGCATGTGGTTAAATCTCATTAGAATAGATCATCTTAAAAAGTTAATTTAAGGTCACCTAGGCTGTGTTTGTTGCATAAGGTGGTTTGAGTTTAAAGACAATCATCTTCTTATGCTGACAAATTGTATGTGAGTTTTCTGTGGAAAGCAAGAATGCTTCCAAGTGATCATGAAGTTTTTGTTAGAGAATGAAAATCTTACTTGTTTACAATAAATACGTGTTAATCTGACCAGCCCTCCACACAACAAAATGTACTTTATTTGCCTCTAGTTTAACTGATTCTGTGAAGAATGTGAAAAGTGGGATCTGGAAAGTTTTGAAGCCAGTTCACAAAGGAGGCTCTAAGCTGAGCAAAAGCAAGACTGAGGTAACAAAAAATAAGTCAAAAACCTGAATTTAGAACAGCACACAAAGACAAATCTCTGACCCGATCGTCCAACAGAGTACACCTCGAAGTGTGTCAAACATGTGAAGTGAACAAGACCTTGATCGCAATCTAGCAGAGATGAAAGGAAACTGTTCTGAAGTGGAAACCCAACAACAAACAGGTAAGTGGAGATGAACAAAGACAGAAGTAAAACTAATTCAAAGTAAACAGGAAGAGTATTGGCCACTAAATAAATCAGGAAGTTTGAAAGGTCAGAACGCATGGCAACAAATTAGGGCCGCACTAACAGAACAGTAGCCTGGCAAGCCATCCTCTAGTCTGGCCACGATCCATTCAACCCACCCAGTGGTGGGGCAAAATCTATGGTTGCCTGTCAAACAGTCTCTGCACAAAACTGGACAGCGCTATGACCAATCAGAGCAACAAACAATGTGGCATACTCATGGTAGACCTGCTGAAGCTACGATTGAGCGTGGCTAGGCCGACCTGCTGAGCTAAATCTTTTGCTACCGCAATGCTTGGTCTAGATTTCTAGGCAGATTTCTAAACACTATAAAAACTAGGAATAAAATGCGGCTGCAGTTTGCGACTTAAATTTAAATGACAAAAGACAATAAACCAAAACTAACAGCATTCAAAATAGTCCAGGATTCAAATTACAAAGAACTCCCGTCACAGAAGGATGGATTACCAAAATAAATAGCTATCAACTACTTGTGTGTAAATTTGCATCATGTTGCGCCTCCAAAAGACTCCTGGTCCCACTGAGAGAATCCTATTGCACGCCACAGCCTTCTCTTTCTCACAGGCAAAAAACATCCATGTTTATATTTCTGATGTAAAACAGCAACCTGTGTTAGAAATAAAAAGGATTATTTAAACATTGAGGAAGAAAGTCTGAAAGCAACAAAGAACGAGTAGAACAAATCATCTTTGACCGCTATGTTGAACCAAATTCTGTCTATGTTTAGCAATAATGTTTTTGTTATTGTTATAATTTTGTATTATCGTTTTTTTTACTTTTGAATTATTATTTTCTCACCTCGTGCACTGGACAGGAAGTGGTCAGACTGCTGCACAGCTGCAGGTAACTGGTAACTTTGTTCTGTGACATTTATGGCCAGACTGTATGATACTGTCTTCTAAAGAGACAAATTTTCTCTCATGTGAAATTCTGGATGGAAAAACATGTCATACAATAGGATTCAATGGAACAGTCGATGGTGTTGTTGCTTTTTTTAAAAATGTGCCAAAGGGTGGCCTGCAGGGAGTTTGCAGCAGATAGGCAAATCCATAAGATCTAACCCAAGAGATAACAGAGGCAGCCTCACACCACACACACACACACACACACACACACACACACACACACACACACACACACACACACACACACACACACACACACACACACACACACACACACACACAAAGACACTCATTACTTAGAGAGGAAGTGTTCAGTTATAGACAAATGCTTATGTCACAACCAGAGCAGCTGAAGTCCCCCCAAACACACACACACACACACTCACACTCACATCCACACCCTGAGTCAGATGCTTGGTGTCTCTCTCTCTCTGAACTTCAGTGCCGCTCTCACTCGGCCAGCAGCAGAAACTCACACTGAGACTCAGAACAAACACAATTCACCACTCGGTCCTCGGATCGCTCCACTCTGAGAGGACTGTTGCTGCAGAGATGGTGAGTACAACTTCATAACTGGTTACAACTTTAATTCAGTCACCTTCGTGATCCATGCATCTCTTTAAAGGGGATTTGATAAATTGCCAGTTCATCAGAAATAAGTTTTTCTTTGCGAGACTGTTGGGAAGTCTTATTGTTGTGCAAACTAGCGTTGTTTTGTTTGATTGGTTGTTTGAGTGATTTGATGAACAATTTCTAAGTTATTCTTATTAAAATCCCATCTTATCATGATTTTCTTGTACATTTGTTTATATGTAGACTTTAAAAAGGTTATGTCATGATGAAATCATCTAAAGTCACAGCTTTTATTAGCAGGGCATCTTGTCCTTCACCTTTTCTCTCTTATTTTTGAGCAAAGGTGTTTCAGTGAGCTTTCTCAGCATTTTATTCAACTTTAACTGTAATTAGACCTAAAAATGTTCTGTTTGCAAAAATAAATAAATAAAAATGATCTAATAATTCAGGTATTCCTAACCATGACAGCTGTGTCTTTAGAAGCTCTTGCACTAGTGCATGCTGGGAGGGAATTCCAGTATGTGACAAAATTTAGGGCTTTACAAAATTGCAACTGCTGTGCAGCTGCAAGAATTTTGCACAGAATATTAAGCAATTTTGTTACCTCTCCGTGACTGAGAAACAGAAGTACTAAGAGGAAACTTTCCTCTCTGTGTGCATTCTTCTTTTTTCATAAATATTTTTAGTCACATCTGAGGGCTGGTGTTGAAACACTTCAGCTCTGTGGGATGTTACTGGCAGTGACACTGACGTGATATTCCCCTATAAATACTTTTAGCTGGTAACACAATCTCCTAAGATAAACTTTCTCTGAGACCACAAAGGTGACTGAGATAAAGGCGTCAAAGCTAATCTAACTACTCATCCAATACAGAAGGTTTCAAATGAGTGAGTCATATAGTAAACCGGCTCTTCTACAGCTTACAAATGATCAGTTGAATGTTAACAGATAAATAACCTGTATTAAATGTGTTCTTTATAGTATTAAAGTTTATTACACACCAGATTGTGTACGAGGAATCATCAAAGATGGTTTCTACATTACGATAGTTGGAATTTTTTTCATTTTTGAGATTAGGTTTGAGAAGGCCATTCAGGAAATCAAGTAAAATACCACAGTCTCAGTTAAGCCCCAAAATAAGGTTTCTAATTTAAATAACATTGAGCAGTTTTCTGCTCCTCTGCCCTACTGTTTGAAAGGGAATTACAACGGTCGTAAACAACCCTGCTGTAGTTAGTGCTAACAACGAGCTAACGCTAACATGAGCCAACTAATACTAAAATAAACCACAAAGTAAAAGAATTCACATTGTTGGACAAAAAATATTATTACTTACAAGTCCAGCAGCAACAAAGCCAGGTCACTATCAGTCCATGATTTTGTAGCCTCCTTTAGCTCCCTCAAGGTCGTGCCGATATTCACTCTGGTTTTAGCTCTTTGCTTCGCCTCCAAAGACATTGCTGTCTTACTTTTAGGCCCAGGCCCCGCCTGTCAACAGAAAAAGCAAACATTTTCTTTTTCTTCTTCTTGTGCTTTTTATCGGTGATTAGCAAACTCAAAATGCTAACCATAGCATTACAGCTAACAGCCACAAAGCAGGTAAAAAAAAAACTTCCCTCAGGACATCTACCTGCTCCACAAAACTATTAAATGTAGTTTTTGGTCTGCAGAGCACTGCAGAGTGGTGTCAAACATAAAACCAGTCAAATTTCTAACACAACAATCACTGAGATCAATGTTAAAGTTCTAGTTTAAAAAGTTTTTGTTACTTTGGTATTTTCCATCACCTTTGAGTACAGCAAAATGTTATTGAATGAAAATATTCAAAAAATTTAAATGCCACTTGAACACCAATATTCATACTGACTTTAAAAGCTAATTACTTTAAATGCCATTAGTTTCCTGTTCACCGTTACACTTCACCCCCTGCTGTGTATTTTAGTCCTCCTCTCTTTTTACTGCTGTGGAGCAGGAACAGGAGAAACTGAGCTTTTATCTCCACTTCCTGGTGAAGTTTCTGCCCCAGCCAAACCAGCCTTTAGAATAGGTGCGGCTGCTGCTTTGTCTGTCTGTTTGGAAGCTGTTGCCAGCTTGAAAACATCCTGATAGGTCAGTGACCTTGTTCATATGACAAACTGTCATTTGAACAGTCAATTCTGAAGAGCTCCATGGCCTTTTTGGTTCAGTCCTACAGTCAGTGTAAACGTTAACCTGTTTTCTGTGTCGCTGCGAGGGTCTGCTTGAACTTAAGATAGAAATGTGTTTGATAGTCAACCCTTCTCCAGCACTGCAAATATTTAGTTTTGGCACATTTAGCTAATTTGCAACATTATGTGGCTAACTGCACTGACCCAGGCAAACCAGGAAGTTGGTGCAAACTGTAGTTTGAGAAGTGGATGTTATTTTTTCCTTGTGTAACTGTAACAACCTGCAATAAAGAAGAAAAACATTATATATCATCTGGTTGACTTAAAATGTCCTTCTGTTTGATGTCCTTTGTGACCAGATAAAAAGCAAAAACATATCTTTTGTCATACTTTTCAGCAGAGCGTCTTCTCTGTCATGTATGCTTTAAAACATTTTAAAAGCACTGATTAACTGCACACTAGAACCCATGGTTACTGATGTTTGTGAGTCTGCGTATGAGAATAATGTTTAAACGATGCATAAAATTATTGCATGTTTACATACGCTGCATAACTAGTGACATCATCACGAAAATGTTATAAATGCCAGTGTTACTAAACTCTATGACTAGTTTTGGTTCTTATTTGCACATAATGCATCAGAATCTTCCAGTCCACACTCACTAAACACTTTATTAGAAACACCTTCCTAGTACAAGGTTGGACCTCCTTTTTCTTCTTTTCACTGCTTTAATTTTTCATGTCAGATTCAACAAGATGTTGTAAACATTCCTGAGGTTCTGGTCCATGTTGGCATGATAACATTTCACAGTTCCATCCATGATGAGAATCTCTCTCTTTGAGAGGTGCTATATAAAATATCTTCTACTTCTTCTTCTTCTTCTTCTTCTTCTTCTTCTTCTTCTTCTTCTTCTTCTTCTTCTTCTTCTTCTTCTAAAAGTTCGACTGGACAGAGATCTGCAGATTGTGGAGGTCATTAGGGTCGAGTGAACTCATCGTCATGTTCTAGAAACCTGCTATGATCTGAGCTTTGTAGCATGGTGCATTATCCTGCTGGAAGTAGCCATCAGAAGATGGGTTCATGTGATCATAAAGGGATGGACCTGTGAACTCAACAAAGCATTTTCATCCACACAGCTGCTGATCCTGATTCTTTTCAAATCATCTCTAAGAGACATTTTAGAGTCTCAAATTAAACTGAACACACATGTTTTGGATGTGGAGAGCACCCACTCACACATGAGGAGAACATGCTAACTCCCCTGCAAAAAGGCTGTTGCCAGGCTTTGAACCTGCAACCTTCTAACTGGGAAGCAAAGTTTCTTCTTCATTCTACTGATCAGTTTGACTTTCAGCAAGTCATCTCCAACAGCTCTAGGTGCTGGCAGCATTGCCTTACTCCCTTGTGATTGGCTGATTAGCTGTTTGTGTTTAAAAGCAACAGAACAGACGTAACAAAGAGTCTGGCGAGGGTAGCGTACAGATGTTGATTGACTGTTTGTGTTTCTGTGTCTTGACCCTGTTGACAGCTGAACATTTTCAAACTCAAACATGTGGTTTGAACTGTTTGAGACACAAACAGGCACGAGCAGCTGCTTTGAACATTGTGAGTGATCTAGAGAGGCAGGAAAAAAACTGATTGTTAAAAAGATTTCTAATAAAAAATGCATGAAAAAACAGCTTGAAAGCGGTAAAAACTATAGCGTGAGAGGAAATATGCTAATGTTTGAGTGTTTCAACTGTCTGTTCCTATTTTGTTGTTATTTGAAGTGTCTGAACATCTTTTTGTGTTCATTCCCATTTTCCCTTGCCCTTCAGTTTTGCTTTCTTTTTGTCTTAAGATCAAGCCAAGACCAGTTTTAGTTTTCCTCTGATTTATTGTTTGTGACATTTTAAACTATTTTGAATCAGTCTTCCTCTGATTGTTTTTTTTCTCTCTCAATCTTATAGGATAGCAAAGCTGATGTAAAGGCAATGAGGGCTCGTTTCCAAGCGGGTGGGGCGAGCACTGAAGACACTTCCTCTACATCTCTTGGACGCCCAAAACAACCCGTGCAATCCACTCTCTCTGGTCCAACCGCCCAGCGTAAGCCTGTTTCAGGGAGCCTATCAGGGGGTTTACCTCCCAAACCATCTACTTTGAAAGCCACACCATCCAGTAAAAATGACACAGACATCACTGAACCAAACAAAATTAAAGCCATGGCTAACAGGTTTGGCCCCTCCCAAGACGAGTCCTTGTCCCCCAACAAAGCTGTTATTACTAATAAACTGCAGTCAACCTTGAAGCCAACTTTTCCCCAAACTCCTGATGCCAAAGGCTATGCACAGAAATCTCCTCTGAACAAACCCAGTTCTGAAATCAAACCCGTGCTCCCAAAGCCTCCAGGGGTACCAACATCCAAGCCCAGTTGGATGAAAGAGGACACCAATGGGGTTACAGCCTCAAACACCACCACCAACCAGCCCATATTACCAAACTTGCAACAAAAACCAATCAGCAACGTCCGAAAAATGTGGCAGCAGAGTGAAGACCAGGGAGATGCAAACGCAGAGACAGTGAACAAACCTCCGCCTCAAGTAAATGTTTCTTCTAAGCCGACCTCGAACTTCAAATCTGCTCAGAATATGTTCAACAAGGAGAAAGACATGTCTGAGTCGACAGAGAGCAGCATGGCCAGCAAACGGCCCTTTGCTGCTAGCAGCACTTTCCCTCCTCCTGCTCCTCCGGCCAGTAAAAAGCCAAGCATTAAAAAGCCAACGAAGTTTCCTCCTCAGGCCAATGGGACAAACGACGAGGCTGGACCAAAACGTAACCCACTCCCTAACAGCTTAGCGTTGGGTCCCGCTCCTGCTAAACCAAACCGTCCTCCCAAAGTAGAACTGGAGCACTTTAAACACGGTGCCGAGGCCTCTGAGAATGGTAAGTAAGATAGAAATGTTTTTTTTCTTCTTGTGAGCACAAAACAAACAAGGCAAAAACCCTTGAGCACAGAAGTTATTAATTGCCAGCCCCTAAAAGGGTAAAGTCACACTTTCGTGTTCCTCAAAAACACGGGATAGACACAAATAACCTACCTTATCAACTTCTTGCAGCATGCTTCAAACTGCATGTCGAATTCTTAGAGTAACATAATGTAACCAATTCATGCAGACTTTGTGTTCTTCAGGGTTATGCTGGATTGTTTAAACAACTTAAGTTTTCATTAACATCTTAGAAATTCTGCTTTTTTGTTCATAATGTGCAGTGTAAAACAAATGAATGCCAAGCACCTATGGTATAAAGTGAAGAGGCTGAGTCGTTTGGCTTTTTATTGCAGCTGTCATGTTGGGTGGCAATTTCTTGACTCACAACATGCAGAATCAATTCTCGGAAACAGGTAAGTGAAAAAAAGGTTTTATTTTAAAACGAGAAACTAAGAGGAGTAACAGGGAACAGAAGAAGCTCTGCGGTGGTCGCAGGATTCCAGGGCAAGATTCTGAGGAGGGAAACAAGAGTGAATATCCGGTGGGAATAATTGGAGAATTTGTAGTTAGGCGGGAGCTTACTCTTTTCCGGCAGAGACAAAATGTATGGGGAGGGGTTGGTCTGGCCCGGGTGAGCTGCGGAGATCCAGAAGGCGATGAAAAACTGTTCATCCAGAGATGAGGTAGGAGCGGAGGTTGATGAGGGCAGGTGAGCGGCTGAGAGCGGGCGGCCAGGGGAGGAGACAGCGTGATCTGGGTTGCAGGAGTCCGAGCTGGTTATGGAGATGGTGGAGTGTGGAGCGAAACCGGAGAGGAGCAGGGAAGAGTAGTCAGGGCTTTTCTGGCGGCAGATTTTCCAGCAAAATTCACAGGATCTAGTAAGTACACGGGAACTAGCAAAAACACAGGATCGAGACAGGTTAGAGGCTAGAGCTACCCAAACAGAGTAATCATCCGGCGTGGTGTAGTGTCACACTGCTTCTTAAATCCCCTGGGCCTTGATGACAGGATCAGCTGCAGCTGGTAGCTCTCAGACACGCCCACCTGCAGACAAGGCTCGGAGAAAAACAGGGTTACAGACAGGCAGCTCACCATGGACCATGACAGCAGTATTTAGAATTAAGCCAAACAACCCAGACAAAAATAAATGCTGCACTTTCAATAAACAAATCAGAACATTAGCGTTTAGGTTGTTAATCCTAGGACCGATGCCATCGTTTGCAGCTCCTGTTTTTTTTTAGCAACCATTAAACAAACACATTAGTAGACAGCAATTAGTAAACTCAGACTTTCGTTTTACATTAGATAGAATAGAATAGAATAGAATAGAATAGTTTACTGATGAAACACGGGGGAAACTCACTTGTTACATCACTTAGAGAATAATTTGAAGATAAATAACAAAGGTACATGTATGTACACATGGGCAGTAAACTAGTATTGTAACCTTCAACCACTAAAAACCATGAATAAAAACAAAAAACGTGGGTTCCAGAACTATGCAGCATACTGTAAGGGACACAGACATACTATGTAAATCCGGTATTGCACAGGTATTCAGCGTGTACTGAGTATTGCATTGATGTTATTGTGTAACAGGATAATGCCAGTACCAGTTAAACTGAGGAGCTGAACATTCTTGCTGCAGAGGGGATGAATGACCTACGGTAGTGTTCTGTTTTAAATCTGGGATGTCTCAGTCTGCCTCTGAAGGAGCTGTCCATGGTCTCCACAGTGGAATGCAGAGGGTGGGAGTTTTTTTTTAGGTCATCTTCCCTGGCATCCTCCTTTCACACGTCTCCTCAACTGAATCTAGTGGACAGGCCAGAACGGAGATAGCTTTCTGAACTAACTTGTTTAGTCTCTTCCTGTCTAAGTCAGAGCTGCCTGCATCACAACGACATCACAACAAACCAAATAAACAAGTATTATTTTACAAGAGTGGGGATAAGATTAAGTCATCTTTCAGAAACAAACTTCTCAAGCTTCTCAGTAAGATAAAAGCTACCATGGAAAATTTGGCTAACAAATTTGCTATAAACATTTTCATGCCTCTTAACAATGTTCTAGCACAGTATAGCTATACATTTATTGTGGAGATTAAAAAAATAATAAATTAATAAAGCTGTTCTCTTGCATTTGTCTAAAAAACCTTTGCCAATAACATGTTTCGAAACAAAAGTAATCATTGGATCATCTAGTTGTTGGGCTTGCCATACTTCCACACTTTCCTGGGTCCTCCATTCATTACGCACACATGTATTTAACAACAGAACACCACTGGTGTGAGGGGTTCGCCGCTCAATGAAATCAGAAAAGGAGAAATAGATCAGTGTTTCTTCTGATCTGATCACTGTTGGTCATTCTAGCTTGTACTGCATGTCTAGCTTGTCCAGTGGCTCTCAACGAGGAGTCAGTCAGGTTTCAGTTAAACACTTTTCACTAAAAAAGACTAAATACCAACAGGAAAATATTGCAGCTCTGTTGTTTATTCAACAGATGCATGAGCATTAAGCTGTGTCTCAGTAAAGATGACTAATGAAACTTTAGATACATCTATGGTTTATTGCAATGAGTAAATGTTATAATAAAAATGTAATCAAACAAACAAAAATTTTCTTACTGGTGCTAAAAGCTTAAAAGAAAAATACAGGATTAGGATTGAAAAGGAAAGCTCACCTCCTTCCAGCCACAAAATGCAGGTATGGGTGAAAGGGCGACGGTAGATCAGGGGTTAGGAGTTCAACAGTTGTGTCCGTGGGCAGCCTCACTTCTGTCAGCGTGCTCCAGGGCAGCTGTGGCTACGATGTACCTCATCACCATCAGTGTGTGAATGACGGTGATGAGTCCCTGACTTAGAAAAACGATATGCAAAGGTGCAATATTATTAATTATATCTTTATCAAATACTTTTTTCCATTTGGTGCAACACCCGTCATTTATTTATCTTATTTATTTTTTTGTGTCTCTAACAGCTGATTGTTTCATGTCTTGAAGCATTTCTTAAAGCTGAGCCATTCCTTGCCATGCTGTTGCTGTATCTTGTGGCTGTGGTGAGAGGAAGGTCCCTCAGTTTGTTGTCTCAAGTGCACTTCCTTTCCTGTGTGTCACACGGACTGCAGTGTTGTGTCTGAGCGGTTTGCTTCAGTTTATCATGCTAGAAGTGTGATAAAGAACTTGCTTCATAAGTCACTGTGGTTTAGGTGACATTAGCAACATTTAATCTGAACTTTCCTGGTAAAATTTAGGTTATGAACCAAGCTGCAATGCAAAATTAAATAAATAATACAGTTGATCTGATCAGCTGATATTTAACAGAATCTAAAATTTAGAGTTCAGAAGTTTCTAAAATTGCTTCCATGATGAAAAGGCTGCTTTGTTCAAATTTTCTGATAAGAGGCAGAAGTTAGAGAAACACACTTATTTCCTCTATTCGGCCTGGCCAACTTCCCCGTCCAGTTTCTCCTTTCTCCTCCCCCCTTGATGGCTGAGCCAGTTTCGCCACATGAGGAAGTGAGTTTCTGCAAACAGGGATCTATTTAAACAAGAGGTTGTATGTGTGCACCCCAAACTGAGTTCATTTTTCTGTCAGCATGGTCCTAGCTCAATGAATACATCCAAAATTAGAACATTCCTGATGCTTTTGTTTATTTAGGATTATGTTCATGCTGGAGTGGACTTTTCTCTTTAATACAGCAGCCATTCAGACGTCACAGCAGGAAACATGCAGGTGTAATAATGAAGGCTGCATTCCACTTTTAAACGATATTCCTGTTGTGAAGGTTACCAGGGAGCTAAAAGGAACAAAGTCATGCCATTTGTTATATATGTGATTTTTAGTCTTTGTTTAAACAAATGTCTGAAATGAAACTATGAATAAATGTACTGAACCTAAACTTACTTTAAGCTTTTTTTCTAATACTTAATCTTGTGCATGTGAAGGTTTCAATATAACAAGTGACTGACTAATTTGCTGGTTTAGGTTGTATTTTTATGATAGGTGAGTTTAACACACATGTTGTGTCTTGTTTCTTAATTCAAAATTAAACAAGGTTCCAAGTGGCATTAAACAAGGGACACATGTTCCATTTCACTGCAGAGGGAATGCAGTGTGTTAACTGGGCCGCATTCCACTCCTGCAGTGAGTTTTGGTGCCTAACTTGGCTGCATTGGTCAACATTTAGAACCCTCTACCCACCAAATGGAATGCCCCTTGTTTATGCATTCTCTGCTTCTGCAAGTCAAACTGTCTGCTAGGAAATAACCCTAAAGCAAGGTTCAAATATATCATTTATTTATTTATTTTTTAGCCAAACACACGGAACACAATAACAATGAGCCATTTAAAACGGTGATTATACCTCTAGGTTTGTTGTTGCAACACTTGCTAATGCAAATTGTTGAAAAAATGTTTTTGCTGCTTCTGCGTGCGGTGATGTACAACTGCCTCCAGATCAACACTGTAAACACCAAGCAGCTGCTGGTTGACTTCTACAGGCATAGACACCCTCTACTGCAACAACTGAACATGCAGGGTACATGCTGTGGAAAGCTACATTTACCTTTGGGTTACCTAAGCTGGACTGGACTCAGAATACTAACACACTTTCCTGCTACCTGCCGGGAAGGCTCAGGTCTTCTGGAGTACAGGGACCGCTCCTGAAGACCTTTTATGACTCTGTAGTGGCATCAGCTTTCTTTTACGATGTGGTCTACAGGGGCAGCATCTCCGCTGGAGACAGGAAGCGACTGAACAGGCTGATACGGAGGACAAGCTCTGTTCTAGGATGCTCTCTGGACCCAGTGGAGGTGGTGTGTGAGAGAAGGATGCTAGATAAGCTATCGTCACCGCTGGATAACAGCTCCCACCTCATGCAGGAGACATAATTGAGCTTATCTTAAAAACATGTTTTTGTTGCTTCTGGACACGTCCAACCTATTTGTATCTATATATTTATTTTCAGGTATAAATAGCCAACTCTTCTAGGGATAAATGACATTATCTATCTATCTCACTATATGTGAATGAAAGCAGGTATGACAGTCAGGAGGAGGCGTCATCTCTGACTTGTTTTTGCTGTCTCTTACTTTCAAAGGTCCTGGTTTTAAGAAACCCACTGCCCCACCTCCTCCAGCTGCTCACCCCATTACTCAGAAAAGTCATGTGATCCCCACCCAGTCCCTGCCACCACCACTGCCCAATCTGCCCCCGAGGGATCCTGGAATCATGTAAGTCCTACAATAAAAACGTGTTAGATAAAAACTAAAAACATGAAGAGCTTTTCTCATCCTAACTGTGCTCTTCAGAATCCAGGAAGACGTTTATGATGATGTTGACTCTGCAGTTCCTCCTCCTCTGCCTTCAGGTTCGCTAAATGTCTTAGAACTTGTTCAAATTTCTAAAAGTTCTCAATGTCATTTTGTTGAACACAATATGAAATCTTGTTGTAATGTTGATTTTTCTGTCTCTGGATTGCAGCTCACCCGAGTCAGAAGCCTTTGAAGGTGAGACCTGCAGCGTTAGAATGACTTTGCTTGAGCCACAGCTGGGAGACTGTTACCACAAAGCTAGAATTGTACAAGAGGTGGCCGCAGCATAAATAATCCAAATCTAGACATATGTCACTAAATGTATTCACACAATTAAACAAACATTTGTGTTTGTTAAATAAGTTCAAATACACGAAGGAAAAAAGATTTTTGTTGCAAGTTAGGAAAATTTCTAAACCTCCCTAGAAGTAAAGTTTGTTGAAATGTGTTTTGAGAGTTGTCTAATTCAGTCATTTAACACTATTTTTTCTCTTTTGTGTTCTGTTTGCTTAGAACGAAAGTGAAAGTGAAGATGAAACATATGAAGATCTGGATGACCGATGGTGAGAAAATGTCCTTGGTCATTTTTAAACGAGGATGGGGTGTAAGGGGAAGAAATCTGAAGTAGGAGTTGGGCATAACTGAAATCAATTACAAATGTATTCTCTCTTTTTTTTCATGTCAAAGCACAGTTGGTTTTAAATCCCAAAATACCACCATGATGCATTTCTCAAACAATTTTACCTGGATCTGTCATCTGCACAATAACAAGATACATGAAGCAGGATGTTTAAAAATAATTATATTTTATGATTGTGCACACTTAACCATCAGCTTAATAAAAGAAAAGATAAAGACACATCATTAAAGGCACACTTGGCTGTTCGGCTTGCTTTTAGCACCTCCATTTAGTGGAACCAAAAGGGAAACGTATCTCCTCGCTGTGCGGTCGTCTTTTTAACACCTTACGCCGGGATCACACTATGCGACTTTTGGCTGTTGCACAGTGTTCATGTCACAGTGGGAACTCCAGAAAGGTGACACACTGTACGACAAAAAATTCCAGTGAGACTGCACGTCTCGCTCTAGCAGGACACGCTATGTCATGAGCGCATGTCCCGAAAGCATACGTCACGAAGCAGAGTGATAACAAAAAAAAAAGATTTAAAAAAGTGCCACCGTTAAGGTTTCTTTTTAGAGTCATGACTCAGCACATCTTCCTTAAAGAGGAAAACCCTCGCTTTGGCGTCAGACTCTAGCTGCGAGACTCCTTTTTCCCTTCTTCCAGATGACCAGTTGAGCTGTCTACTGGATATTCGTCCTTCTCATCCTCGTTTAAACATAAAAATTCACTAAACTACAGGGAAGTAACAATCAGTCACAGATCGCTCCAATAAAGTTTTACCGTGTTCACTATCACTGTTTACTCCGCAGCTCCGCTTCGTGACAGCTCATCTCACCTGCTGTCACTGGGCGGAGCTTCCTCTGTCCTTCTGCAGCAAAACGCTTCTGAACCGTCCTTATCAGCTGAATATGTGAAATTTCCACCAACAGCAAAGGGATCTCATGTTTTTGTGTTTTATTTTTTATGTTCCTGAGCACATCTCCTCTCAGCTCTCACGGATCACAAAATCACCGTTTTCACAATTTAGCTGAGAGGTGCTTTAGAAATAAAGTAAAGGGTCATTTTAACACAAACTGGCTCAAGAAAATTATCTAAAATATGAAAAAGTAGCATAATAGTATGCCTTTAAACAAAAACAAAACAGACTACACACGTTTTTGCTAATTTGCATGTAGAAATATGTTCATCAGAGGCATCTTAAGTGACTTGCTGACATTTTATTGGGTTTGTGATCTCAACAGGGAAGAAGCTGAGAAGCAAGAAAAAAAGAAGGAGGATAAAGAGGAGAAAAGGCGACTGGAGGCTGCGAAGAAAGAGCAAAAAGAACGAGAGAGGAAGGAACAAGATGCAAAGAAGAAGTTCAAAGTGAGTGAAGTAGACTGAAAACCTCTGTGGTATGTTCTGACTGTGTTGCTTTTCTAACTGCATTTTTGGTTCTTTTTTAAAACACAGAAAAGTTTTCTTTTTTACCTTGCTGCTGACAGTTTCGTTCGCGACTGCGAACTTCCTCAGAGCTCATGCTGATGGGGGCGTCACTTCCTACTCCGTTTATCTGCGGGCAGCGGAGGACGTTGTCGCCCTCTGCTGCCCGCTCTCCCCTCTCCGATGATGCAGTCCCATCCTCTGTTGCCCGCGGATAAACGGAGTAGGAAGTGACGCCCCCATCAGCGTCAGCTCTGAGGAAGTTCGCAGTCGTGAACGAAATTGTCAGCAGCAAGGTAAAAAAGAAACCTTTTCTGTGGTTTAAAAAAGAACCAACAATGCAGACTGAAAACCTGCCAGGAGATCACAAATAAATGAATTAACTCATTTTTTTCCCGATTTTTGATTCTTTTGTGTCTGCATGTGTGCGATAGCTGGTCGGACCTCTGGAGGTCATTCAGAAGGGAAAGGCTCTCTTAGACTGCAGAGGAGGGAAAGTGGACCTGGCTACGAAGCAAGGAGACCATCTGGACATCATACGTGTTCAGGGCAATCCAGAGGGAAAATGGTTGGCACGATCTCAAGATGGCTCGTGTATGTTTCCAATTAAATCCTTTCTGTTCCCTTTTTCTCTTAGTTTCTTCTTCTTTTTTTATGTCAAAATTTGATGAATCATGTGTTTTTACTACACAGATCTGTGATTATCTGATGCTCATCGGTTTAATTTTTGCCTACAGTTGGCTATGTTAAAACAACCTCAGTGGAAATTGACTTCAACTCACTGAAGAGCCATCCAGCTCCGCCGCCGTCATATGATCCTGAAGTCTATGATGACATCGATGTGGCCTCGTCAGACAGCAGGTACCTAAAGAGCCAGATTATCGATTTGTCCAGACCAGTATCACCATGCAAACAAAACATTTAAACACAAGGTGGAAGAGTTTTACAGAAAGAGACTTTATTTTTATTAAATTTTGTTTCTTTCTGCAGTGGAATCAAAGGACCAGCAGGTAAAATCTGATCAAAATACAGTTGGCTTGATTTTTATTTAATCAATATAAATCATTAAAATCCACTATTACATGATTCCTGTTGTTGCTCTAGTTGTCCTCCCTCCCCTACCGGACGAAGGGGGGGAAATATACGACGATGTGGTTGATCCAAGTATGGAAGTCAGGTAGAAACTCCCTTGTTTTCTTTTGTTTTTTAAAGCAAAAAGTGTTTCATCACAATTGACATGAACTCACATGATCAAAATAAAAGCAGAAGAAGAAGAACGATGCACAGATGATGTTTTTTATTGTCCGGTGACCTTCCAGTTCCCTTGACTCGGGGTCCTCCCTCGTGAGACCCAAAAGCTTCCTGCGGATGTTTGACCGAAAGACGCGCTGTGCCAGCTCTAAAGTGTAAAATACACTCATTAGTAAGACTGATCGCAGATCTTCTGTCCACTGTCCCTAAAGTTTCAGACGTCTCTAGTGTCTAACACTCTCCTGAAATGACCCTTTAACCTTTTCCTCACAACCCAGCCCTGAGTCACCCTCCGCTCCTTGGTCTGAATAAATCTAAGGAACCTTAATCCCTAATCTCTTTTTCTAATCTCTACCAATTTGGAGGATTTCTGCATGATATGTGAAAGACATTAACTGTTGTTTAAAATTGTACTAACTAGCACACATGTTAACTAACCAACGATGAACAAAAGTGGAATTCTTGTTGATTTATTCATGACGTTTGTTGCTGTCAGATAAAAATCTTGTATCTCCATTTTTCACCGTTTTCTTGTACAAAAAGAAAATCAGCTCTTTGTGGCTTTGTGAAAAAGAGCTTCTAACTTATCTTTGTAACTGAATTAGAGAAAAGTAAGAAAAATATGAGATTGTTTTCTCTTTGAATGCAGATTTTGTAAATACAGATTTTGTGTGAATGGAACCAAAAAATCTGTAACTGTGAAGGTCCTTAATTATCTGTACAGAAACAAAATACAAGCCTTCACCATGAGAATGAACTTTAATTAAAAAATATGTTTGTCTTTGAGAATCCACAGAAGTATTTGTCCAAATCTGGACCAATATGAAAATAGGATTTTCTGATATATTTTTGGAGATAGAAGGTATGAATCTCTCAGTGATGTATTGAAAGCATATGATTTCTGAAACATCTTGTGTTTTCGTTGTGCCAGAGTGCCTCCACCGAGCCAGTTTACTGCAGATGGGAGTTCAGGTACACATACTTATAATTACAACATGATATAAGATTACAAGTGCCAGATACAGATTCAGATATTAAAGGCTACGCTGAAATTGTTTGATTCTGTTTCAAAGGGTTTCGGTTGTTGTGAATTAGCTGAAATGCACTCACACACATTATGTGTGTGTGCGTGTGTGCGTGTGTGCGTGCGTATGCATGTGTGTGTGTGTGTGTGTGTGTGTGTGTGTGTGTGTGTGTGTGTGTGTGTGTGTGTGTGTGTGTGTGTGTGTGTGTGTGTGTGTGTTATGCAGAACGGTCTGGAGGAGTGATTGATGAGGATATATACGATGATGTTGACTCTCAAATTGCACCTCCTCTACCCCCCCTCATCAGGTACAGCTAAACAAATACAAGACAGTTATTAAAAACTTATGTTTCTAATTTATTCACTACATTGTTAGTGATTCACTGTCCTAATTGGGGCCATTTGTGTGTCAAGCCTTCCAGGTATGAAAGGCAGAAATAAGGCTGAAGACACTGACCCAAAGAAGCAGAAAAAGTTTGAGAAAGAGGAGAAGGACTTCAGGAAAAAGTTTAAGGTTTGGCACTTTTCTGTGTTTTCAACATTTTCATTAATCTTTTCCAGTCTGACAAAACAACAATTTCAACAAATCTGTTGCAGTATGAAGGGGAGATAAAGGTTCTGAACCAAGTCAACATCATCCCTACACTCAGCCAAAAGAAATGGAGCGGAAAAGATCTGCCTGTAAAAGCTGGAGAGAAACTTGATGTCATTGATAAAGCTCATGATGACAAGTGGATCTGTCGGAATGAGGACGGCAAACGTAAATATTTTTTTTAACTGGTTATCATCCAAAATCAGAAATATGCACTTGTTTGTTTTACGCACATTTACTGGAAAGCCATCCTATAAATGTAAATATATGGTCTGGCCATGACCCACTGAAACAACCCAATCTACGGTTGTCTCCGCACGCACAGATCAGAGCAATGAACAAGAAAGAAGAAGAAGAAAATATCATTTCTATAGCGCCTCTCAAGATAAAAATCACAAGTCGCTTCACAAAAACAAAAAATGTAAAAATATAAAAAATAATTTAGAAAATGGTTAAAAATATATTTAAAATGAGCAAAAAATAGACAATTGTGATTAAAAAAATGTTAAGAAAGAGAGAGAGAGTGAATAGGAAAGAGGAAAATCAGTGGATCCTGAGGAAGGTGGTATAGGTGGGGAAAGCAGAATAAAGAGAAAGTGGTGAAGAAGGTCATACAAAAGCCAGCTTGAACAAGTGAGTCTTCAGCTGCTTTTTAAAGGAGACCACTGAGTCCACTGATCTCAGGCTCAGGGGGAGAGAGTTCCAGAGTCTGGGGGCCACAGCAGCAAATGATCTGTCACCTTTGGTCTTTAGCCTGGTGCTGCACAACCAGTAGGCTTTGATCACTGGACCTCAGGGACCTGCTGGGGGTGTAGGGACTAAGAAGATCACCAATGTAAGATGGTGCTTGTCCATGTAAGGCCCTATAGACCAGAACCAGGATCTTGAAACGAACCCTGAAGTTGACTGGCAGCCAGTGAAGCTGGAGGAGAAGCGGGGTGATGTGGGTGTGTTTGGAGGACTTGGTCAGAAGCCGAGCACAGGCATTCTGAACCACCTGTAGACGGTTCAGGGAGGTTCTGCTCAGACACGTGAAAAGAGAGTTACAGTAGTCTAAACGTGAGGAGATGAAGGTGTGGATAACTGTCTCAAGTTCAGAGTGGGACAGAATGGGACTCAGCTTTACAATGTTCCTGAGATGGAAGAAGGAAGAGCAAACAAGAGAACTGACATGAGAGTCCAGAGTGAGAGCTGGGTCAAAGGTCATGCTAAGATTCCTGACGGAAGGTCAACAACTTGAAGTATTCATCGCTATGTTAACCCATTACCGGTGCAGTCGGGCGTACACCGTAGAAGAAGAACAAGGAGCAAAAACATTATTTTGCTAAATAAATAACTTAAGTATCAGCTCATGTCTCAAAGACTGACTCAAGTCTAAATTGTCCAGTGCGGATGACAAAGTCTTTCAAACAAGCGCCATTCCTGAGCTCACACCATATTTGTAGTTTTTCTCTGTCACAGCTCTAGCATTAAAGCAATGGTAAATTTAAAAAAACTAATTAGCTTCAAACATTTTTCATGCCTCCTATAGCTATAAATATATTATGGAGATTTTAAAAAAGTGCTCCTCTCACATTTGTCCAAAAAACACCTTTCGGACCGAAAGCAACCATTGGACCATCCGGTTGTCGGTCTTGCCGAACCACCGCACTGCACTTTCCTGCGTCCTCCACTCATTACACACTCAGGTATTTAGCAACAGAACACCACTGTGAGAGGTTTTCTGCTCAATAACTTCAGAGAAGGAGCAAAAGCTGCTACCACATCAACTTTAAGACAAACTACCAGAGTCCCAAAAAGAGAGGCACCATTTGAAGTCACAGACAGCAAAATATGTTTGGATGTTAAACATTGGTGTCACATGTTTAGCACTATCTCAATTCAATTCAATTCATTTATATAGTGCCAAATCATGGCAAGAGTCATCTCAAGGCACTTCACAAAGTAAACATTCAATACAGTTCAGTTCATCCTCGTATCCTCTGGCATTGTGGGTCTCCAGTTCCAGCAGAAGTGCCTCAGGGAAAATACCCGAGGGGAGGGGTGAGTGTTCTGTAACCACGTTTGCAATCAAAACCTAGCTTGTTACCAGATTTGTTATAACAGCTTTAATCCCGCCCAACAAACATAAAGCGCTATGATTGGCAAGATACAACACTGTTCAGGCCAATGGTAGACCTGCTGAGGCTACAGTGATACGTGTCTAGATCTCTAGGCAACATTAATATTGATAATTTTTTAGAAATTTGATGTTAAAATGTTTTATTCCAAATTTGTTTTTTTTTCAGTGGGTTATGTTTCAACCAGTCACATTGTGAATGCTGAGTAAGTACCACAAATACACACACACACACACACACACACACACACACACACACACACACACACACAGAGAGAGAGAGAGAGAGAGAGAGAGAGAGAGAGAGAGAGAGAGAGAGAGAGAGAGAGAGAGAGAGAGAGAGATGCCTAACCTGATCACTATGTTCTTCCCACAGTGATGGAGAAATATACGACGATATAGGTGTGGATGGTATGTTTTGCAACACATAATAGCTTAAAGTACAACTGATGGATTTCTGCTCAGCACTGAAGACAAACAAATTCTAATTTTATTTAATCTTCTTTTTATTTCAGATTGCATCTATGACAATGACTAAAGCTCCGATTAGGCCTGACAACACTGAACTTGTTTAATTTGACCTTGTGTTATTTATTGTTGATGGTATACATTGGGAGTTGCTGCAGGATTTTTTTTTATGTATAATTCATCAGTTAATATGTATATCCAGACATCTGGAGGACAGGCTAGCTTGAAGTATTTAGAACAATGCAATGCTTTTTTAAAGAGTTTGCAGCTGCAAAAGAAAATGAAAACAACCAAACTAAAGTAATTTTATTACTTGCAGGGAAATATGAATGAAAGCAACAGTATTTAATTATTTCTTTGTTTTCCTAACCTTTTTATGTATTTTGGATTGTCTTTAAACTCTACAGTCACAGTTTTTGACAAACTAATGAAGTTTGCTATTTATATTTAATACAAAATGTGCATTATGTTGTGATGTATTTTGGCAAAGTTAAACAGATTCAAAACAAAATGCCTTTAATATTTTCTAAATGAAATGAAAACCTAATTTTTAAAATTGTTTCACTCGGGTCTATTTTTAATAATTTGTGGAAGGCTTGAAACAGCTGCAGGAAGACAAGAAATGAAACCTTGAAGCTTTCATTAAATAATGTGACAAAAATAAACACATTTTTAGTACTTGCAAGCAAGATTCAAGAGGGTTCGGGGGAAAAAAGACACAAAAATTGTTTCTTTGGATGAAGACTTAAGAATGTCCAAGATGAGATAAGTTTCTATGCAGTTCATCCTATAAGAAGGGACTGAGTATCATCTAGTGTCAGCCTGGAGGAACTACATCATTGACACATTTTGCACATTTGAATTATAAGTCTGAGTCTTTAGGTAGCAGTTGAAAACTTTTTATGTGAAAAGAGTGAATCAGAAAGTTCTGCATCTTTGTCAAATGTCCATCTCACATTGGCCCTAATTAGTTATTTTACCCAACCGGACTTAGAGGGCTGATGTACTGCCTTAATTCCTGGTCTGTTGGCATTTTATTATAGTCTTTAAATTATTTATGACTGTAAATTTGTACTGGTAAAAAATAATTTGTGGCAAGGCAAACTTTCTGGAAATTGTGTGCTAATGGGTATAATGGAGAATATCATTTTAAATTTAAGTCAACTGTAATAAAAAGTTAAATTAAACAGTAGAAACAGAAACACTGATTATCTTTTAATTCTTTACTTTTGTTTCCTTACAACTTTCCAGAAAACAGTTTCATGTCTAAATGCATGTTTTCCTTATGTCGATGATGTTTTCATCGTCTGTATGTTTTTATATTTTGTCAAAACATATGACCAGAACCAATGTATATAACAAATGTTTTTAATATATTTTCTGTTGTCTCAATATCTGATTGCTGGTGAAAATATAAAAATTAAACACATATTAGTAAAACAAGAGAATTGTCTTATTTTGTAGTTAGTCTTATTTAGAAAGGGTACTTCCGTTTCAACCGGAAGTGTTGTGCTGACTGAATCCATCATGGTTCCTCCGGTCGCGGTGTCACCTGTCATCAAGGTAATAACATAAATAATTAAGTATCAACCTAGTTACTGTTGGACATGTGAACGAAATAAATTTACTCCAAACAACAGCTTCCTCCTCAGAACACGAACATTAATTAACTAACGTTAATAATGGTGGTTCTAGCAGCGGGCCAGCTAGTGTTTGCTAACAATGACATTGACACGCCGGTGAACTGTTGCTTCTCAAATCAGCTGCTAATCTGTGGGTTTTCCACATCTGGCAGGTGCTTGCATCTCTAGATTTGATTTATATTAACTGAGCAGCACTTAATACACCAAACCTATTGATGCTTAGGTAATATGTTGTATTTTAAAGGTAGAATGACTGACTTCCTTTTTTTTCTTCTTCGATGAATACCAATTGCTGCTTTTGTGTGCAACTCTCGTTCTGATTAAAAAGAAGTTACAAATACAGAATTTTTCTTTATCAATAAAAGTGCTAATATATGTTGTCAATGATTGGATTTTGGGGGCATAGTCATGTAACAGTGACGTACAATCTTTAGAGGTTTAGCTACACCTAATTTTAATCCGAAGATAATTAACACGCTCCTGCAGAAATGTGACCTGCTGAACGGGTAATTCAACCAATGAATCAGGTTAAATGAAGCAGTGAAATAACTAAAACATAACGCCACCGTCCCATCAACACCACTGTTTCTGTTGATAAAATATTAACAACAATAATATTTGAGTCTATTTTATTTATTTGCCTTTACTGACCAAAAGTTGTATACTAAATAATAAAATTATTTAAAAACTAAATGGCAAAAGCTTGTCAGAAGAAAAGATATATTTTTACTTTATTTTCTTTCTTGAAGTTTCTCAAGAAAAGTTGATTTCCAGATGAACATACAAAGTTTATTTCATTACAGACAGCCAGATGGTCTGCCCTCCTGATCGGTGTGTTCTATGGGAAACAGAGGTTTGGTAAGTTTGTGTGTGCTTCTACAACAAAGGGCTTCCGTCAGTTGTCTGAGTTTTTTATAATTGCATTGTGCCGTATTAACCCTTTAAAATGAAGGAGGCTTATTTGTTGAGTGCCTTTGAAGAGGAAAATCACAATGTGCTTCACAAGCACAGCAAATTAAAAAAAATAGCACCTGTTATTATGACAGATATTTAGACTTGAAATTTTAGTAAAACTGAATAAATATGACAGATTGTTTATTTTCATTTAGCTCAACGTCTTTATATATATATTAATTACTTGAAGTCTCGGGTCTTCCTGATTTTGGGTGAGATATTTTTTGTTCATAGAAAAACAAAAATTTTGTATTTTGTTAAGATTACCTGAAGCCCATCGCCGAGGAGGAGAGGAGGACTGAGGAAGCAGAGAAGAAGCTCCGAGAGGAGCAGGAACGCATCTACAAACAGCTGTCTGAAGGTAGCACAAGAATACACACACACACACACACACACACACACACACACACGCTTGTTCCAGTTGATTCAACTCTCGTTACTTTTCAATCAAAAATGTAACCTAGAGTGTCTTATCCCAAAATATGAAACCACGACTACAAAATTAAATATATAAAGAATTAATTTCAAGTTATACATAAAAAAATTTGCACCTTATTTATTTGGGGTGCAATGGATCATCATTGATTCGTGATCTGTACGGATCTCTACGGTTCGGCACACACGCAGTTCACGGACCAGTCACATGGAGGGTGGAGGCGCTTCCATTTTAATCAAAAGGAGAAACGCACAGGGGTGGTCATGACGGAGGAGGAGAGGAGCTTGAAAAACCACCTGCATCGTTGCATCTGTATGGAGCATTTGGCTCCCCTGTAAAATACAACGATGATTCAAACGGCCTTCAGTCTGATGGCGCAGCACCGCACACACATTACTCCCATCGCTGTGAAAGGCGGGAGGTGGTGGTGCATGAAACATGCCTTGGACATAACAAAGGTGGCAGGACCTGTACATGTTAAGCACAAATCTGTAAAAGAGGACAAAATAAAAATAAACAGTGCATGAGAAAGGTGAGGAGATGAGTGAAAGCTGAACACGAAGGGAGAGCAACGAGCTGTGCCAGAGCGTCGGTACTGACACGCGATCGTTCATGTCAGCTCATTTCCTTTAAAGAGCAAGTCACCCCCAAATAAACTTTTTTTTGCTGATAAACTAAATAAACAAGTGTCTAATTGTGCTGCAGACACGTGTCGTCAATAATTTGGCACTTCAGTGCATCTTAGTTAAAATTTAAATATTCTGCCTAAAACTGGCAGTGTTGTGCCTTTGTCAGGTAAAAACTCTGCACTGTATTTTCATTTAAATCTGCCACCGCTATTGGCTAAGAGGTATGCTATGATGTAAACTGGTACATTATGATGTCACAATGCTGTCGTGAGCCTGTTTGTGTGTGTATTTGTTAGCGGCTCCGCCCTCTCGGTCTGCCAGGCAACAGCATGTGTTGCATTTTTCAAACATGAAGTGGGAGTGGCGTTAGACTCTGCTAGGGGTTGACTTGCTCTTTAATGTTTTCTGTCTTTTATTTGCACCTGATGCGTTTCACTGTTGTGGAGCGGGGCGCATCACCTTCTCCTCCGGTGACGCACCGATCACTGATGCGGCCGGCAAGCAGCGAGCACTCCGCTGTTTTTGCGGTCGGTAGATCTTTTAGAACTGCAGTTCAAAGGTAACTCATGAGGTGAATATATATGAAGCCAGGTAGCAGTTTCTCTTTAGGATTGAGAGGATATTCAGGAAGATAATAAACAGGCAGGACAGAAAAATAGTCAAATAAAAACAAGTTAGTTTTTGTACCTGGTGGTTGCAACAAACAGACACCATTGAAGGTAATCAGAAGTGAGGAACAGAAAATTAAATAATTATTTTAATGTTTAGAGCAGCAGGAACTCCGAGAAGCTGCAGGCGCATCAGTGAGTTTGCGGCCGCTGCGCAGGGGGAGGGGGGAGATGGCTGAAGCAGAAACTACCGTTGTTAAAAGAAATGTGTTTAACTTTGATAATGTGGGCGCAATTTTAATTGTCAAAAACTCCAGCGAACCATTAGTTCATTTTGCTCAAATTGAAATTGAGGCCTGCCTCTAATACTGGCCCTCCTTCCAATAAAGGTCTGGAGCTTGATGAGCTTGAGTCAAATACAGGCCCGGGCCTGTATTAGAGGATTTACGGTATTTGTTTTTCTTTACATTTTCTTTCTGATGATCTGAAAAACGATCTGCTTCTTGCCTGAAGACCGTGATGTGATCCGAACCGTGAGATTTTTGATCTGTCGCACCACAACTTTTTATCATTTACTTCAGCTGGTCAAAATAAAGTTTAATCAAAAATGGCTTATCTGGTTTTACAAATGAACTCGTCATATAAGTATGTCCTAATTGCTATTATGATAGTCATGCAACATTACATGAATAAAACATCCTTTCTTCTCGTTTTCTCCTTTTTGCAGATAATTCTGACACCATCCTCCAATGAACCCTTCGTGGACCAATGACAATACATTATAAACTCAATAAAAACACTACAAGTCATGTAATAACTGGTGTATTTGTGTGTTTTGTGTGATGTCCTGGACTAAAGCAACAAGTGATCATCTGAAAAATGTTCCACAGACCATCAAAGTTTAACTCATCAGCTGCATCCATATTAAATAAATGACACACAGCCTGGCCTTTCCTGTTACCTTTATGTGGGTTCTGTGTGTTTGTATACCTGAGAGATGAGCTTGGGTAAGGCATTGTTGTAATCCCAGCCTAGTTTAGCAGTAATCCCAGGATTGGGGTCAGGGACCAGTAGAAAGTGCAGTGTGGACAGAAGTTCTCCCTCTATACTCTTGTGTAATATTTCATCCTTTGTTATGAACTCTGCATTAGATTCTAATATGACAAAAGCTGCAGTACTGAGAGGGTTCAGCTAAGGTGGCCAGTCTATTAATCTTCTAATTATCACAGGTGTTCATCTGTAAGTGTTTATTACACCTAAATGTTAGAAAATGTTGGTAAAGTTTTTTAAAAAGTCCAAGTTAAACATCCACGTGGTTCTGATTAAGATCCATGTTCAGGTAGTCAGGCATCCGTTCACCCAGGACAACATAAAAATACATTTGCTTTATTTGGATCAACACTGTACACATGGAGCACATAATGAGGCAGGCCTTAAATCACTGAGCAGTAAATGAAGAGGTCTATTTAAAAACAGGCTTATTTTTACTTCAACTATTTTAAACTCCGATGGATGTTCTCCGTACATAAAGGCTCAGTTCATTTCTACTGTCACCATCATCTTTGGGACTCCAAAAGGGTTCAAATGAAAGAATGAATTTTACACAATGTAAACTCAGGCAAGCGTGATAAATTATATTGTCTAAAATAACAAGCAGCTCTATTCTGACTTGAAAAATATCATTTTTCCATATTAAGAATAACCGAGACAGTTGTACAAGTCATTACACAAATCCAAGATGAGACAGCTTTGTGTCCCTGTGAGTGTTAGTAGAATGGTCGAATGGTTGGTACTGTTGCCTCGCAGCACCACAGTCTTGGGTTCAGGTGTCGGACCGGATCAGTTGAATGTAGTCTCTTTTACTCCACACATAAGTTATTCCTGCTGTTGATCCAGAGAAGAGTCTGTGGAAGTCTTGGTGTCCAGAGCACAGGTTAGTATGTGTGTGGATCTATGTAGTACATATTAAAGCCATTTTAGTGAATGTAGTGGTTCCACAAAGGATGGAGAACAACATAACTTGAGACAGTTTTATCCAGAACCACCTGAGTTCCTGAATGTAATCAGTTTTAAATAAATAGGGAGCCTAAGTCACGTCCATCTACTTCCAGACCGTGGTTCACCAGAAGAGCCATTTTTTTGTGTGAAACTCACCATCAATATCACCAAATTGACATCATCAAACCAGACAGAGAAAAGCAAAGGAAAAATGACTAAGTTTAGAAAACTTTGAATCCTTCCTTCAGGATGAAAGAGCCACTATAAATGTCATCGTGTGGTAAGTAGCAGCTATGCTAGAGGAGAGGAGATTCTGTGTGACGTCATTTACAACATGCTGACGTCTGATTTTTAGTCATGCTAATTACGAGTCTTTACAAGCCTATGGAATCTCAAAGTGCGTGACTGGGGCGGTCAAAAAACACATTACGTTTAATTTAAATTAAAGTACAACATATGTGTGATCCAGGCCTTAAGATGACTAGAAAGTAATTATTTTAGCCTCGTTGACTTGCATTTTGGGGACCCATGAGTCGACGAAAGGGAAGGGACTTAAGAATATCTGAAATCTGGGTGTTGTGATTGATGAACACCTGAACTTTGAAGATCATGTTGCCTCTGTTGCTCGTTCATGTTGCTTTGCGCTGTGTAACATACGAAAGATCAGACCATACCTAACACAACATGCCACCTAGCTCCTGGTGCAATCTACTGTCATCTCCCGCCTCGACTACTGCAATGCCCTTCTAACTGGTCTTCCAGGCTGTACTGTGAGACCTCTTCAAATGGTCCAGAATGCAGCGGCACGTCTGGTCTTCAATCAGCCAAAAAGAGCACACGTCACTCCTCTGTTCATTGGGCTCCACTGGCTACCGCTAGCAGCACTCATCAAATTCAAATTGCTAACACTAGCATACAAAATCCAAGATGGTACGGCTCTCATCTACCTGAATCCTCTTGCAAAGGCTTACGTCTCGGCCTGGCTGCTCCGGTCATCACAGGATCGTCGGCTAGCAGTGCCTACACCACGCTCAGGACAATCCTGACTCTTCTCATGCATCGTTCCACAAATGTGGAATGACCTTCCAAGCACTACCAGAACAGTGGCTTCCTTTTCAACTTTCAAGAATCTCCTGAAGACCCTGCTCTTCAGAGAGCATCTTCTAAACTAGCACCCTCCCTGCACCCGTCCCCCCTCTCTACTGTCCACTCCTTGTTCCCTACTCTCCATGACTGATGTCAAGTTGTTGTTGTTGTTATTGTTAGCCTCAAGGGCAACATGCCGATTATCACTTGTAAGTCGCTTTGGACAAAAGCGTCTGCTAAATACATAAACATAAACCTCTCTCTCTCTCTCTCTCTCTCTCTCTCTCTCTCTCTCTCTCTCTCTCTCTCTCTCTCTCTCTCTCTCACTCACTCACTCCAATAACATCTGGCCAGCTGCTAAAAGGGGCGTTTTTGTTTGTAAACAGGACGCCCCTTTTATTTCGCTGTGGCAGTGCAACACGATCACTTAGTGTAGACTTTCATTTTGACAAACTTAGCAGGGAAAATACTATATTTTGATGCCCATTCTGATTGGTTAGTGAGAAGCTACAGCAACCCCCATTAAGGCATTTCTGTGGCCAAGCAGAAACGCCCACGACTGGTTGGACCCTGCTCTCTCTCTCTCTCTCTCTCTCTCTCTCTCTCTCTCTCTCTCTCTCTCTCTCTCTCTCTCTCTCTCTCACTCACTCTCTCTCACTCTAACTCTCTCTCTCTCTCACACACACACACACACACACACACACACACATACGCACGCACACACACACACACACACACACACACACACACACACACACACACACACACACGCACATAATTTACAGTGTAAAGGCATCACAAGAAACACATCTACAAAGGTTGCTCCTGGTGGACTTGAAGGCCTATTGCACTAGTTTAATACTTATAGAGAGTTCACTAACTTTAGCAACTTAAAGCAGTTACAGTAAATAAACTCTCATTAGTAAATTGTTGGTGACTGGAAGCGGTAAACTTTGATCATATCCTGTGGAACCTAAAACGGATCTTACATTTATGCCCCATTTAAGGATAAAATACAACTTCAAACATTCTTTGCTCCAGCCTTACCTACAAGAATAGACATCTTATAATACTTCACTTATACTACCATTCTTACTGTACAAGGGTGTCATTTCCTACAAGGTATTTACAACTATGAATTGGTGAAGCTTGCTGGATAAAAAAATAATAAAGAAAACATTTCTGTACATTCAAGACATATTGTTGTTAACAATATTAAAAATACGTCACACACAATGTACCTCACAGACAAGAAACTTGTTTTAAGAAAAGAAAATGTACCTGATTTAAAAGCAAAAGCCCATTGTGTTCCAGAGACACTGTTTTAACTTATTCCGAAATAATAATAAACAAATATTCTTGTAGAAAAAAACACTTGAAATGTAACTTTTTTCCCTTCTCTGACTGGAATTATTTCTGTTCTCTCATGTCCACGTTTCTGACCGTGAGTGTTGTGTTAACTGTGGTTCTTCGATGTTCCTGACGTTCCTCCATTGTGAGAATGTACTTACACACTTAAGAGGTTGTTGGTCTCAACACATTGAGCAGGTCTTGGAGCCTCCACCACCGGTGTTGTTTGCAGCTATTCATTGAAACATGAATAAAATACAAGTTAGTTTTTGCTAAAATAATTCCAACAAATATTTTTTTTAGAAAACCCGGACTTAAAGCTACAATGGCAAATCTGTAAAACAAGCTAGCTTAAAAAAAAGTTTGCATGCCTCTTAACAGCGTTCTAACATTGCATAGCTATGAATGTATTGTGGAAATAAAAAAAATAAAAATAAAAATTATTAAAGCCAGCTTGTTTTGCAGATTTGCTGCAGCAGCTTTAAGTTTTACCTAAGTTCTAGATCCCAGGTCCCATAAAACATCATGATTAATTGTACATTTTCCAAGTCCGTACTTATATTATCTACATGTACTTGCCCTTTAATCATACAGCTTGTAAAATGGCAAGATATATATTTATATATTTAAAGAGTATTTAATCTTACTTTCTGTCAGTTGGAAAAATTCCAGTAAACGTGTTTGTTTCCAGAGCTGCACAGTTCACATCTTTTCATTATGCTACAGTTAGCTTGCATTACCAACAGTACATTTATTTTCTTAATTAATGGAAGAGCTGGATAACCCGACCTAGTGAGAATTCCTCAGTAAGTAAAGTTGGGGGAAGCCCACAATGAGATTATGAGCTGTTAATTAGTAACCCACTACTTAACAGATTCAGAGTATAATACCTGCACCACCATGCTTTACAGTTGGTCCATTTTTTTTACCTTTATTCCTCCAAACATGCTCTGAGTCAGTAAAACCAAATAAAAGTCAATCCTTATCTCATTTGTGCACAAGACTTTCTTCAAAATTTAGAATTTTTCAGCACTGATCTGCAGCAAGTGAGACGAAGCACCAGATACTTAGATTAACTCGGTACAAAACACAAGTTTTTTTTGAAAGAATCACTATACTTTTAGCCGCCGCTGCAGCCTCTTTAGCAGCCTTTTCATCCTCGATGGCCTTCAGTTTAGCCTCATATTCCTCTTTTTTAGCATTCCACTCCTTCCTGTTGTTAAGGATGCCATCCAGCATAGGCTGGATTTGTGGGTGGAAGCGAGAAAACTCCTGAGGAAATAAGCAATACGGAATGTAAAGAGAATGATACTATAAAACTGTAGAGTTTTGCACAGAATTAAGAGTTAGAAAACTCAATATATATTACCTTGTAGACAAATGTGCAAACAAAGTCAATAAAACCACACTGTAGCTTTGGAAGTTCTGCTGCTTTGTTCCTGTCCATCATAGGCTGGTGGAAAAAATACCATTACATCAGCACTTATGGACCTAATCGTGCTGAAGCTTCATCATCTGCTACAGGTTCAGCCCTAAACACAAACCCACAATGGGTTGTTGCTCCAGCACCGTCCTTTCCAAGTCACCCTGCTCCCAAAACTCTGCCGCCACAGACAAGGCAACCTGAAAACACACCCGCTTATTAATAGAGATTTTGCCTCTAAATTCCAGTCAGTTAATTTATTTAGCACCAATTCATGTCACAAGTCATCTCAAGGAAGTTTACAAGCAAACACTCCAATTGAACCTACTAAACAGTACACAGAGTTTAGTTTGTAATTCCTCCTAGTTAAAAGTTTTCAATCTAAGAACACCCAGCAGATTACATCAATAAATAAAAAATATCATTTCCAGAGTTTTTTTTATTTTTTATTTCTCACCTTGCTCTGTACTTCCCAGGGTTTGGTGATGGCGGACAAGTCGCACGCTGTCATCATCATAGCCCTGAAACAGGAGAAAAGATCAAATCTTTTATTTCCAGAGAAATGAACAGGATCAGTGAACACTGAGTGGGTTTTTTTCACTCACATGACAATTTCTTTCCTTGTTGTTTCCAAAGACAGGAAGTCCACCCATTTCTTTTCATCTTCATATGTTTTTGAAAGGTCCACGATCTTTTGGAACATGGTTCTCTTCCTGGGAAGGTGCAAGAACAAAAAGGTACTTCACTACTTATCCTCTTTGTAAAGCAAGAACAAAATAATTCATGATAATCAGGTTGGAAAAAAAAAAGCAACACTGACTTAAAATAAAGAGCCAGGTCAGTGGCGATGATGGCGATGTCAGTGAGATGAATCACATGATCTACCTGCCGTCTGTTAAGGTTTTGGTAGATGTTCAGTGACTGGAAATGAGAAATGAGGGGGATAAGTCAGTAAAGACGTGGACATGTTAGATTTAATTATTATTTGAGTACAAGTCTTCATTAACCTCATCAGACAGAAGGAACTTTCCAAACTCTAGATGGTGTCGCTCCAGGATGGAGGAGCCGTGTAACTTGGCCAGAGGGTTACCGGACCTGTTCGGGGGAAATCACACGTCCTCAGATTTCAACTAGACTGAACATGACATTCATCCTATACAGAAATTGTCAAATGTGACTGAACTGAGCATGAAAACTGGATGTTCATTCTGACCCTGTTATCACAAGGTCACATTTACAACTTCAGTAGCCCAATGTTAGTAGCCATCAGAGATTTAACCCTTTAACTTCCACACCCAGAAAAAAATATTCATTTGCATTATTTGTTGATTTGAGGCACAGAGGGTTATAATAGTAATGATAATATTAATATAAATGTAATAGTAATTTAGACTTAAGTAATTTTTTTAACATCCTCGTACTTTTTAGAATTTTCTAGTTCAGTATTCTTGTTTCCTTGGTTAGTTCCAGTGACTGCTGTAATTAGATAAAGATGCTAAAATACACCTAGCAGTTGTTAGTTAAAGGGTTACATTCAGAACAATAGAATAAGTTTGAAAATGATCCGTTTAATCATTAATTTTTCAAATGACCTTGACACTTGCTACAGTTTTTAACAGGGATGGACAAAATATCGGCATCAATATTGGTATCGGCCAGTGTTAGTCATTTTTTTACAGAAAACATTTACGTATAACAAACAAAAAAATTCAAATCAGTGCATCACTAGTTTTTAATCATATTGCATTTGTTTTCATATTCACCTCTCACATCTTTGGTTTTATTCTAGAACTAAGGTTACTTTGTGATGAGAATTTTGGTCCTCCGTTGTCATTCTCGATAAAGCCAGACTTTGTTGTCACACTTAAATTTTATCTGGTTTGGCTCTTGCTTGATAAAATGGATGGACTTGGAAACATGTTACATTTGTGCATCTTCACTGATCTCCAATTTATGGCTTGTAGACCCCTGATGATCCAGAGACCCCAGTTTTAGCGCTACAGGACACTTTATCACATTTCAAGGTCAACTTTACTCAAGTTTTTAATACATTTGCAGTGGTCTCTAGTAGGAATCAATGCCTTGTAAGTTGTTCTTTGGTGGAAAAAAAAGCTCTGGTGCGCCTGAAGTCAGCTGGAGGAGAAAATATCAGGAGACGGGGCAGGATCTGGGCCCTCATTTATTAAATGTTTGTAGAAACTGTCCTATGTTCCTTTCTACGAATGAGAATGTTAGTATGAACAGTCAAAATCCTAATCTATGACGCATGCAGTGGCATCTCAAACGCATGTTCCTCCGCAATCGTCTGATGATAAATTCCACCCATGTGTACCCGGGTGCTCGTGTCCTTTCTCAGTCATTTACAAACAGAAACACCCTCAATTAACCATAGTTGGTAACACTATGTCCTCAGCACATGAGGGAGTTCCCTGGGTATTATTTCCTAATATTTGGACGTCTCGCCTCGGATTGACTAATGGCACTATGACTCTACCACTGACTCTGTTTGCTCTGCAATGTTGTTTTACCTCCATAAATAACACAATCCTGGAGGAGTTCTGCCATGCTGTGGGGTTGCTAATGCTAATGGTTAGCTTCTACTAGTTGAGTCGTTTTCTGCTGTTTCCTGGACACTAAACAAAGAACAGCCTTCCCTGTCATGAGCCAAGATGGATGAGTCCATGAATGTCAAGTGACAGCGTGAAGTAGATCTGTCAGGCTTTTAAAATCCTATCATTTCACCATCTACAGGTGCTGGCCAGTAAATTAGAATATCATCAAAAGGTTGAAAATATTTCAGTAATTCCATTCAAAACGTGAAACTTGTACATTATATTCATGCAATGCACACAGACCAATGTATTTCCGATGTTTATTACGTTTAATTTTGATATTTATAGGTGACAACCAATGAAAACATCAAATCTGGTATCTCAGAAAATTAGAATATTCTAAAGGCCAATGAAAAAATGTTTGTTTCTCTAATGTTGGCCAACTGAAAAGAATGAACATGAAAAGAATGTGCATGTATAGCACTCAATACTTAGTCGGGGCTCCTTTTGCCTCAATAACTGCAGTAATGCGGCGTGGCATGGACTCGATCAGTCTGTGGCACTGCTCAGGTGTTATGAGAGCCCAGGTTGCTCTGATAGTCGTCTTCAGCTCCTCTGCATTGTTGGGTCTAGCGTATTGCATCCTCCGCTTCACAATACCCCATAGATTTTCTATGGGGTTAAGGTCAGGCGAGTTTGCTGGCCAATCAAGGACAGGGATACCATGGTCCTTGAACCAGGTGCTGGTGGTTTTGGCACTGTGTGCAGGTGCCAAGTCCTGTTGAAAGGTGAAGTCTGCATCCCCATAAAGTTGGTCAGCAGCAGGAAGCATGAAGTGCTCTAAAACTTCCTGGTAGACGGCTGCATTGACCCTGGACCTCAGGAAACAGAGTGGGCCAACACCGGCAGATGACATGGCACCCCACACCATCACTGACGGTGGAAACTTTACACTGGACCTCATGCAACGTGGATTCTGTGCTTCTCCGCTCTTCCTCCAGACTCTGGGTCCTTGATTTCCAAAGGAAATGCAGAACTTGCTTTCATCAGAAAACATAACTTTGGACCACTCAGCATCAGTCTAGTCCTTTTTGTCCTTGGCCCAGGCGAGACGCTTCTTGCGCTGTTTCTTGTTCAAGAGTGGCTTGACACACGGAATGCGACACCTGAATCCCATGTCTTTCATGAGTCTCCTCGTGGTGGTTCTTGAAGCGCTGACTCCAGCTGCAGTCCACTCTTTGTGGATCTCCCCCACATTTTTGAATGGGTTTGTCGTCACAATTCTCTGCAGGGTGCGGTTATCCCTAGAGCTTGTACACTTTTTTCTACCACATTTTTTCCATCCCTTCGCCTGTCTGTTAATGTGCTTGGACACAGAGCTCTGCGAACAGCCAGCTTCTTTAGCAATCACCTTTTGTGTCTTGCCCTCCTTGTGCAAGGTGTCAATGATTGTCTTTTGGACAGCTGTTAAGTCAGAAGTCTTCCCCATGATTGTGGTGCCTTCAAAACAAGACTGAGGGACCTTTTAAAGGCCTTTGCAGGTGTTTTGAGTAAATCAGCTGATTAGAGTGGCAGCAGGTGTCTTCTATATTCAGCCTTTTCAGAATATTCTAATTTTTTGAGATACCAAATTTGGAGTTTTCATTAGTTGTCACTTATGAATATCAAATTTAAATGTAATGAACATTGGAAATACATTGGTCTGTGTGCATTGCATGAATATAATGTACAAGTTTCACGTTTTGAATGGAATTACTGAAATATTTTCAACCTTTTGATGATATTCTAATTTACTGGCCAGCACCTGTATGTTCTATCAGAAGCTAATGCAGGAGATAGGTGAAGGGGACTATTTTCATGTTGAGCCTGCATGAAAAACTCCCGATGTGACCAATCACTTTCAAAAATGATGAGTAAAAAAAGGGTTTCTCAGTGAACCTGCTCTTTAATGAATAAATAAAAATCTTTAAAGAGCAAGTCATCCCTACCAAAGTCTTACTTCACTTCCTGTTTGAAAAATGCAACAAATGCTGCTGCCTGGCAGACCGAGAGGGCGGAGCCACTAACAAATACACACACACAGGCTCACAGCAACATTGTGACATCATAATGTACCAGCTAACATCACAGTGTACCTCTTAGCCAATAGCAATGGCGTATTGAAATTCAAATGCAGTGCTGAGTTTTTACCAGAAGAGGGCACAACACTGACAGTTTTAGGTAGAATATTTAAATTTGAACAAAAATGCACAAAATTGCCAAATTATTGACCACACATGTCTACAGCATGATTAGACATTTAGTATATAGCTTATCAGCAAAAAAAGTTAATTTGGGAATGACTTGCTCTTTAATATCAAAAGAGTTGACTTGGATAACTCGTTGCACTTACTTGACCTGGTACAAGTTATTTGTCCCTCTGTGGTCAATGTCATGCAGGAACCCTGCTGTAATCATAGCCATCACCTCCAGGTCAGTGTAGTATCGCTTCAGATGTCCCGTCTAAATGTGAAGGAAACAGACCAACTTTAGGACTTGCTATAAACTTGATCTTGCTTGTTTTTGAACAGAGCACCAACATTTTCAATAGAGCAAACTAATACCGTTAGTAGTGTGAACATGGTCTGTCCCACGTTGAATCCATGACGCCAGTTGTGGTAAGTGATTTTTCTGTAACCTTTACTGACCGAGTACATGAACCGAACCAGCACCTGAGAGGACAGCACACTGGTGTTTACTATACTACTTCAAGATTAAATGTGTTTGAGCATTACCTCCTGTGGAATCTGGAACTTCTTGACCACACCGACTTCATAGTACATCTGGATCCCGCATTTCACCAGCTCCAGCTCCGTGCAGTTAAAATCAGAAAACCGGAACTCATAGATCTCAAATTTCTTGATCAGTGGAGGAAGGTCTTTTTTCTGAGATTGATGCAGAAAAGCAAAAGCTGAGTGACATTTAGGAGACATTTAATGCAGGAACATGAACACTTTCATCTCAGAACATTGATTAACTTTGTATTTTTTACCAAAATATTAAGAAGCTCCTCTTCTTCACACTCCTCTGGTTCACAGTCGTAGACGTCTCTCGTATTCTAAGAGGGATGAAAGAAATGTAAAGATTAAACTTATTAGAGAGTAGGGACAAAAAGGTAATTACCGTAAATCCTCTGATATTAGCCTGTATTTAATTAACTGCCGGGTATCATATTTTGGCCGGTATCGGAGTCGGCGGAGGTGAATAATGGCCGGTTTTTTATTGTGGCCGGGTGGAGTGTGGTAACAAGCAAGTACGGGGGGCGGTTGTGTCATCCGTCTCACTTTTGATTTGCCAGTGATAGACCGCGAGGGTAATAACTAACCATGCAGAGACAAAGAGGAGGTGAAATTTGATATCAAGTTCAAAGAGAATGTGCTGATTATGCTGCAGAACACTCTGGGGAGCAGTAGCAGGGGTTGTATGAACTAGTCACTAGTCGACTTCACTGCTCTATAGTGACTTTTTATGCCTGTCATCGACTAGTCGCTGTCACGTGATAATGACCGGCAAGATGCAGCCCTCGGAAAAGACAGCAGCCTGCTGTCAGCAGGTGACAAGCTCCTGCGCGTCGGGAGGCAACGCGCTGTGCCAGAGCGTCGGTACTGACACCCGCCGTAAAACGGACATTTAATCAAATTGTGACGCTTACCCTCTTGCAATTTAACCTTCCCCTCACCCCCATCCTAACCTTAACCAGCTTGTGCATGCAAAGCTCTGATTGTTGACACACTCCAGACATCTGCGTCCTGAGGACGGCCACAGTAACATTATCAAATCAGGTGTCGCCACCTCAAAAACTAATTTAACACGCGATCGTTCATGTCGGCTCATTTCCTTTTATGTTTTCTTTCTTTTATTCTTTTATTTGTGCCTGATGCGTTTCGCTGCTGTGGATCGGGGCACATCACCTGTTTTGTCCTCGGTGACGCACCGATCACTGATGCGGCCAGCGAGAACTCCGCTGTTTTTGCGGTCGGTAGATCTTTTAGAACTGCAGTTCAAAGGTAACTCATAAGGTGAATATATATGAACCCAGGTAGCAGTTTTTCTTTAGGATTGAGAGGAGATGCAGGAAGATAATAAACAGGCAGGACAGAAAAATAGTCAAATAAAAACAAGTTAGTTTTTGTACCTGGTGGTTGCAACAAACAGACACCATTGAAGGTAATCAGAAGTGAGGAACAGAAAATGAAATAATTATTTTAAGAGCAGCAGCAACTCTGAGAGGCTGCAGGCGCATCAGTGAGTTTGCATCCGCTGCGCAGGGGGAGGGGTGAGATGGCTGAACAGAAACTATTGTTGTTAAAAGAAATGTGTTTAACTTTGAAAATGTGGGCGCAATTTTAATTGTCAAAAACTCCAGCGAACCATTAGTTCATTTTGCTCAAATAGAAATTGAGGCCTGCCTCTAATTCTGGTCCTCCTTCCAATGAAGGCCTGGAGCTTGATGAGCTTGAGTCAAATACAGGCCCGGGCCTGTATTAGAGGATTTACGGTATTAGTTCTGAGTCAGATTTATTGTTTTTTTGTGTTAAAAATTAGAAATATTCAGATTTTCCTATCAGGATGTTCACTTGCTTTTGTGCTGTTTCATGGCTATAGAGTAACTTAACACATTTGTCTGTTTTTTGGAGATAAAAGTCTCTTTGACAGTTTTTTTTAAATGAACATAAACATCTCTGACCAGAACATTCTGGATCTCATCATTTCGACATTTGACATGGTAAAGAACCATGTCTTGGGCGATGTCTTTCCGGTTTTCCAGCTTGTTCATTTTGTCGTAAGTGTCCGTGTTCAGAGCTGACCAGCCCAAAAACTGGGTCAAAGCCTGAAAACCAGAGAAATTAGTGTCATGCAGCACAAGTTTATCCAACACAGTGAGACTTTCCATCATGTCCTCAATGTTACCTCCATGAGCTGCTCGTCGTGATCATCAAAGGGCTTTCCATCTTTTCTGTTGTAAAATGTTGCCACGCCAACTATTTCTTCTTTCTTGTTGACAATCGGAAGTGAGAGAACATTTTTTATGGTCCAACCGCTGTCGTCCAGAGCTCCCGTCTGCAAAAATTTGATGAGTCAAACTTATTTCATGCTGTTTGAAAATCATAGCCTCCTTTATCATCTGTTTGAAGTCTCTCACCTGAAAATGAAAGGTCTCATCAGCAGCCGCGTTCATTATGTTACAAATCTGAGGAGCAGAAATGGTTGATGAGCAGACGTATTAACGTAGAACAACATTATTTAGTTACTTGCTGCAAGAAATTCTACAGAAACTCACAAAACCGCTTTCAGCAACATAAGTGGGCAGACCACTGCTCAACGCCCAGTGGTCAGCAGGTGGATTCCTGAGAGACAAATGAGCAGGACACTGGTTAGCAGCTTGTAGCTTAACTGTGCTTCAACTATTAACACAAAAAAATGCATAAATATTCTGACAATATTCTCAAATATCAACTCACTCTTATCCAGTTGTGGCTTTAAGTAAAAATAAATTCTCACACAAAGTCTAATGAAAAACGAAAAAAGTTCTGCTTACGGTATTACTTTGATGTCTTCTTTTCCATGCAAGATATAATCAATCACTTTGTAGAAAATCACTTCCTATTGGAAGAAAGAAAATGGTAATTAGATACAAAATGACTTCAAAATGTGAAAGTACCACAGAGATAAAAATAAAAATAAATAAAAATCCAAAGACTTCACCCTGCCATCAGGAGTCACGGGACCAGAATAAGGCGGCTGTTCTCCCATCAACACGGGCCAGATGTCAAAGAACTCCTGGAAGGAAATGGACCCATTTAATACCTTTAAGCTGATAAATGCACAACCGTAAACTGTTTCTGATTACACTCTACCTTTTCCTTTGTCATGTCTAGTAAACCCACAGAGTAGCGGTCACAGTTGAGGTAGGCTCGGACCGTGTACAAGGCTTTGTGAAACTGTCGCTCAATGTCTGTCAGCTCTTCAAACACCTTGTTTGCAGACCACAGCAGCAGCTACAACACATCCCAAACCCACAGTCCTTACATAAGTAAAGCCTGGGTGCAAGTTTCTGAACTGCTAATTGGGAATGAAAAGCAAGTTTAAACGAAACATCGACCATACCTGTCCTTTACGTGTCTCACAGTTATGGAGGTAACTCAGGTGGAAAATCTTCAGGTTCAGAGAAGCAATTTTCAGATACTTTAAGAAAAGCTGAAAATAAACAGAAACAAGACAAGATAAAGTCAGATTTTGGTGATTGTTTCAAGTGAATAGGTTGTTACCAGATCAGTGGCTGCCCTGAGACTGGGAGATCATGGTTCACACCTACAGGTGCTGGCCAGTAAATTAGAATATCATCAAAAGGTTGAAAATATTTCAGTAATTCCATTCAAAACGTGAAACTTGTACATTATATTCATGCAATGCACACAGACCAATGTATTTCCAATGTTCATTACATTTAAATTTGATATTTATAGGTGACAACCAATGAAAACATCAAATTTGGTATCTCAGAAAATTAGAATATTCTAAAGGCCAATGAAAAAATGTTTGTTTCTCTAATGTTGGCCAACTGAAAAGAATGAACATGAAAAGAATGTGCATGTATAGCACTCAATACTTAGTCGGGGCTCCTTTTGCCTCAATAACTGCAGTAATGCGGCGTGGCATGGACTCGATCAGTCTGTGGCACTGCTCAGGTGTTATGAGAGCCCAGGTTGCTCTGATAGTCGTCTTCAGCTCCTCTGCATTGTTGGGTCTAGCGTATTGCATCCTCTGCTTCACAATACCCCATAGATTTTCTATGGGGTTAAGGTCAGGCGAGTTTGCTGGCCAATCAAGGACAGGGATACCATGGTCCTTGAACCAGGTGCTGGTGGTTTTGGCACTGTGTGCAGGTGCCAAGTCCTGTTGAAAGGTGAAGTCTGCATCCCCATAAAGTTGGTCAGCAGCAGGAAGCATGAAGTGCTCTAAAACTTCCTGGTAGACGGCTGCATTGACCCTGGACCTCAGGTAACAGAGTGGGCCAACACCGGCAGATGACATGGCACCCCACACCATCACTGACGGTGGAAACTTTACACTGGACCTCATGCAACGTGGATTCTGTGCTTCTCCGCTCTTCCTCCAGACTCTGGGTCCTTGATTTCCAAAGGAAATGCAGAACTTGCTTTCATCAGAAAACATAACTTTGGACCACTCAGCATCAGTCCAGTCCTTTTTGTCCTTGGCCCAGGCGAGACGCTTCTTGCGCTGTTTCTTGTTCAAGAGTGGCTTGACACACGGAATGCGACACCTGAATCCCATGTCTTTCATGAGTCTCCTCGTGGTGGTTCTTGAAGCGCTGACTCCAGCTGCAGTCCACTCTTTGTGGATCTCCCCCACATTTTTGAATGGGTTTGTCGTCACAATTCTCTGCAGGGTGCGGTTATCCCTAGAGCTTGTACACTTTTTTCTACCACATTTTTTCCGTCCCTTCGCCTGTCTGTTAATGTGCTTGGACACAGAGCTCTGCGAACAGCCAGCTTCTTTAGCAATCACCTTTTGTGTCTTGCCCTCCTTGTGCAAGGTGTCAATGATTGTCTTTTGGACAGCTGTTAAGTCAGAAGTCTTCCCCATGATTGTGGTGCCTTCAAAACAAGACTGAGGGACCTTTTAAAGGCCTTTGCAGGTGTTTTGAGTAAATCAGCTGATTAGAGTGGCAGCAGGTGTCTTCTATATTCAGCCTTTTCAGAATATTCTAATTTTTTGAGATACCAAATTTGGAGTTTTCATTAGTTGTCACTTATGAATATCAAATTTAAATGTAATGAACATTGGATATACATTGGTCTGTGTGCATTGCATGAATATAATGTACAAGTTTCACGTTTTGAATGGAATTACTGAAATATTTTCAACCTTTTGATGATATTCTAATTTACTGGCCAGCACCTGTACAGTCAGGCCTTACCAAATACTTTAAAAATGGGACCCAATGCCTCCCTGCTTTACTCAGCATTAAGGGATTGGATCGGGGGGTTAAACCACCAGTTAGTTCCTAAGTGCAGCCGTGTCTGCAGCTAACTGCTAAACAATCCTTTACTAAATTATGAAGGTTGTGTTTTAACTCCTTGGTAGGACTTTTTTGAGCAATATCTTTTTAACTTCACCGTGATCTAGGTAGTCGTGAGTATTGTTTTGGTCAAAGAATTTTCTCCCACCTAACCCTTTGGGTGACGTAATGATCGGAGAGTCCTGCCTGCAAGTAACTGACAAAGCATCACTTAAACGTTCCTTCAAGCCTAACCTCAAATATTACAACACAAATATTAGACCTACAATGGCAAATTTGGAAAACAAATTAGCTTAAATATTTTTATTTCTCTTAACAGTGTTCTAATATAGTGTAGATATAAATATATTGTGATTTTAAAAATGAAAACAAATTTGAGTGGTTCTCTCGCATTTGTCTAAAAACCTCCATCGTTTTGCTGGAGGTTGCGCTCCCTGGGATTTTTTACCCTAATGGCCATCCGTTGGTGAGGTCTTACTCGAACACAAAAATATTGCTTGCTTGCGATGATTCAGGTATGTACTGCCCCTATCATCAGGAAAAATACACGCCGCCACTTTAATATCCAGCAAAGCTGTAAATAACACAGTTAAGGCTGCTGTAGCAAAAATCGAGAAAAAAAATTAGCTTAAGATAAATTTTATGCCTCTCAAAATTGTTCCAACATCATATAGCTAAAAAAAATTTGTGAAGATAAAAAAAAAAATTTTAATTAATAATCTGGTCTTCTTACTTTTGTCTAAAATCCTCAGCCAATAACACGTTTCGAGCCAAAAACAACTATTTGACCATCCGGTGCTGAACCGCTGCACTTCCCTGGGCCATCCACTCATTACGCACTCATATTTAGCAACAGCGCACCACTGGTGTGAGCGGTTCTCTGCTCAATAACATCAGAGAAGGAGAAACAGCTGGCTGCTGCCACTTCAGCTTTAGGACAAACTCCCATAGCCCGAAAAAGAAAAACGCCATTTGAAGTCATTGACCTCAAAAGACATTTGGACCCAGAAAATGGTGGCTGGTGGCTATCTCGTTTCCTCTGGCATTGCGTGTTTCCAGTTCTGGCAGAAGCGTCTGAAGGAAGATACCCGAGGGGAGGGGTGAGTGTTCTGTGACCATTTGTATTCAAAACTAGCTTGTTCTGTAGATTTGCTATAACAGTTTTAAATTATAAAAGAACACTTTAATAGTACTTTGACCTTTGCGACTACTGTGCCGTTATGTCTGTTTTTATAAATTATTGCTTAGCTTATTTTCTTTTATCAACAGCAAAATGTACAAAAGTATGCTAAAGGCTGGCATATCTATAGTTTTATTTATGACTAATACAAATCTTAATTAAATCTTATACTGGTGCACTAAACTTAAGTCAGACTCACACATCAAATCAAGAGTACATGATTTTACATTAGAAAAAGAAACAAACTCTGACTCAGAAATTTCTGCAAATGTTTCTGCAAATAATGAATCTACTATCTCATGAGTAACGCCTGATAAACTGCTTAAATTAGGATCACTGGAGTCACTTCAGGATGGATTCATATTCATTAGCATTTTTGACTCATTTGTAGGATTTATGTGAATAAGCACTGTTCAAAAATAGAGGTAATGTCAAAGGTGAAGGACCCTCCCTCTTGAGTTAACAGAAAACAATTCTGTTTGCGTAAATACTCCTGATCGAGATGACATCCTTGTATTTAGTCAAATGACTTGTTTTTAAATTTGTTTTGGCACAGAAGAGTTCTGCTCCTGGTTTACTCACATCTTCGTCCTCAGCGGTGAAATGCGGTCCCGTGGTCTTGTTCAGAGCCATGATCACTGCCACCATGTCTTTACCGTTGAGGATGGGCGTAGCCAGAACACTCCTGGTCTGGTAGTCTGTGAGTTCATCAACGAACGAGCTGAAGTGCTGGCTCTGACAAGGAAAAATGCGTACATTTATAGGGATGGATCTGCAAACACTAGAAGTTTTCAGTACAGTCCAAAACAGCGGCAATCGTTTTTTATGGTCTAATATGCATTTAAGCCTAATATAATTGCATTTCTGTCACAGCAGTGTATAGCAACTAATAAAATAATACAATTATTTCTCTTTTTGATTAGTCGACAATGTCAAGACTGTATTTTCTGTGCATTTTTGTTACCACACAAAAGGTTGATTCATTTTAGTTAAGGTGGATTATATTAGATGTGTCAAAAATGCAAATAAATAAAGCATATTTCATCTGGTTTTAAAGTGAAACTGCAGCCATTAATTCAAATTAGACTCAATGTGAGAAAATCATAAAAAAAACATTTAAATTGTTTATTACACGTGCTGCATTTACGTGAAGCAAACTGTTGTTGATCTGTTTTAGCTTCCTGCTGACTAAATGCCAGAGGCGTTTAATCCAAAGCTACAACAGAGGCTAATGGGATCTGAAAATAAAAGGATTAAGTCTGACAAGGGGATTTACTCCCACACTTAGTCAGGTATACGGATGGAAAACTCTCAGATTTCAGACTGAATGTATGATTATGTCTAAATCATGAAAGCAAGAAGCTAAATCTTTTGCACAAATGCAAAAAATAAATAAATAAATAAAGATTTTTGATGACTCAGTGCTCCATGGATGATTTAAACATGGGCTTTTTAGTTTCTAAAAACGTTACTGTGAAAAAAGTGTTGTTAGGACAGCACAAATTACATGAATTCAATCGCAATCTGAAATTTAATCCAATTTAGTCACCATGAGGAGTTGTAATTTATCATTAACTCTTCAGGCTAACTTTGCTTTATTTTATTTTGACTCTGTTGGACTCTATTGAGAAATCACCTGGTGGTAAAAAAAAACATCAACCTGCAGTCCCAATCAGCTGTAGATATCATCTCTATTAATGAAATTTCTCTAAACCACTTTACCTCTTTAACATTTTTCACATTAACAGTCTTCTTCGTAAGAGCCACGTTGCCAACTATCCCCAAGTCCAGTGGGTAGACGATCTCAGAGTCAGGCGGGACCACGCAGTCCTCCAGCACTGAATCCACGCTGACGTTAAAGAGCCTGGTGGCCAGCTCGCCAATGCCGTTCCGCTGCCGGTACATGAACAAGCTGCAGCGGTCAGCGTGGATGAGAGCGCTGAGCCTCTTCAGGATCTTGAAGACCACTTTTTCCATGTTGACGTTCTCCTGCATGTCTTTGATCAGGTCATACATGATTCTGCTTTCTTCAACCTTTGAAAAGAAGAGAAACGGAACCCCTTTTGGTAAATGTGTAGGTTTCTGTTGACTTCAAAAGTCATGAAATGGGGTGATTTACCTGACTAAGTTCTTTAAAGTGACTAAAATCGATATGCTTTTCTGGAAGTCCCGACACCTTCGATATAGAAGAAGGGTTCATCTTTTTGGCAAAGTAGTTTTTTGCAAACTCTGGGTTCCCCTTAAGAAACTTCTCCACGTCTCCTTTTTGCAAACTCATGGTTCCTTCTCTCTCCTCTACGTCTAAACACTCCTTGAGTTCTCCCTCTTCAGCTCAGGGATGGAGCTCCTGCTGGTGCAAATGTTACTCTAATGGAGATACCTCCAACTTTTGCCAACAAAAAAGCAAATGTAAGCCAAAGGAAATCAACAGAGATTATGATATTTACATATTTTATCCCCTAAAAAAAGAAAGACTACTTACCCAAATGATGTGTGGGGGAGGGGGGTAGACACATTCAAAATCAGTTATAAAACAGTAATCCCCCCCGACAGTAGGATGAGTGGACTGTAGGAGGGAGCGCCTTTAGGAGAAGGCAGTGGGTTGAATCCAAACAATCCCTCTGTCATCAGCAGATAGGGCTGAAGGTTAGCAGGGATCTACCTATGCTAAACTCATCAGCTGATCATGTAGTAACAAATATGTGGGCCAAAGGATCCAGCCTTCATTAGTTCATTCACATCAAAACCCCACACTACCAAAAACATCTGCTCTGAAGTGCATCTGCAGCAAAGGCAACAATCAGTGTTGCAGAGAATAACATATTTTATAATCTACATGATTTGATGTTTTCTCATTACATCAGTGTGTTCCTGAATGAATTCAACATAATGAGGAATTGAAATATATGGCTGACACGTTTATGTCTCTTCACAGTTTTCTCCCAATTGTTTCTTTCTTTAGGGTGAACCTGCACAGGCCCGCTAAGTCCTTATTAAACAATGTCTCGTCTAGCATAAGCTCTATTTAGTTAGGACACCCAAATAACTCAGACAGCACCCCACCATCTGAGGCACTCTGCAATCAAGCCTGTAATCTTAAAACAATAAAAAATAGACCCGTTCTGCACCTCTACAGGGATATTTAATCCTTTCATTGAGAGCCAGCAGCACCTGTCTATAATAAGGCTGCATAAAGACCTTAAAGAAAAGGTCAGATAGATAATCTGCTGGTGCTTTAATGGATACAGACAGCTCTCAGACGTGTGTGTGTGAAAGTGTGTGTGAGTTTGTGGCCCAGCTGTTACTTAATTGTAAAAAAGGGAAGATGATCGGGCCAGTAAGTATTTCGGGGTGACAGCATTCTGCTCCATGTGGTAACTTCGGAAGCATTTAGCCCTTAGCGATGGCGTGCACGTTCTTTATCTGTAAAAAGAAATAAGCATGAAACACTTTTATCTGAGAAACACAGAATTTTTAAAAAAGTCAACATTTCAAACATTTATTCCATTTATTGATTCCAAATGTGTTGCTTTAGCATTTTAGAACAGCTTAGTTTTAACATAAGCATCCACAAAAACTATTGACATTCATACTTTTTTGAAAACTGTGAGCCTCGATTATGTTTAAAATATAATTTATTTGCTCCCAGGAATAATTGCTAGTTGGCATTGTTTATGGTCAGAACTACGACGGTATCAGATCAGCTTTGAACCGCCGACATTTGTTCAAGATTAATGAACATTTTTTTGCAAAATGCTTTTGCTTTAATCTATCTTGTCAAGAATTTCATCTTGAGCTGCACCATATGAATGCCCTCAGCCGTCCCTTGTAATGGCCCCAGTTCAGAGAAAACCCACAAAATACAACCAGAGTCATATTCCGTTATTCCTAGCTGGGGGATTAGACGAACGGGCCTGCTTTAAATACTCTCATTTTTTAAAAGTTAAACCCCGCAGGACTCAGCCAAAAGCATCGAGGGAGCACCGAGAGGCGGGGGCTGGGTAACTCACCTCACAGTGGACCGTCAGCTCAATCTAGAGATCCAACTATGTTTTTTTTTTTTGTTTTGTTTATCTGCAGCAACTTAAAAATACACAATAGGAACTGGAACTATCTTGGCTGCTGGCACCATGACCTCCAATAGATCCTCAATAAAGGATTTAAAGTGTTCTCATTCTAATTACAGGGCCTCAAAACAGTCCTTTTTAGTTATTTTTCATCACTATCTCCTGAGTTGGGAGTAGGTAATTCGGCTTTTACATTTATGCCTCTATTAAAGATGAATGTAGTTTGTGTGAAGATGCATATTATTTATTAAGAGGGGGATCTTCTCTGTGGGTGGGTGTCATGGCTTTTGTCAATATGTTTATCAATAACCCATTTCCTGTAGTCGAAGAGAAAAAGGAGACAATGAACAGACAAGTCAAACAGTTCTTCCTTCCGGCTCTTGGAGAGTACAGACGCTTTTTTCCCCTCCTCTCCTCCCTATCTTATCTCAAGGCTCTTTGTCTGTCTCTGGGTGTATGGCTGCTTCTGCATGGACCTGGTCAGTTGGTCACTAAACGCGATTGACAAAATTTTTTCAGCGATGAGAATGGGAGAAGGGGCTCCCGGGTGCCTCTCTGGGACGGAGCCAGCTGGGCACATCATGGACTCCTGGAATCAGTGGAACCTGATTTGCCTATCTCAACTGTCTGTAGAGGATTCTGAAGACATCTGGATATTTGTGGTGTTGGTGTCAGGTTTCCTGCTCTTTGGCCTAGGAGGCTTCCTGGCTTACTGGAAAATTAACGAGCTGTCGAGGAATATTGGCACTCTCCCCGAGCTCAGGGATGGATTACACTGCGCTGTGAATGCACAGACTCATATAATTGTCGAGATGAGTCGTAAGCTTGGAACTATGGCTGAGATTCATGCGTTGGCACAAAAGATGGATGCCATCAAGGAGCGAGTGGACGAATCAGCACGGATTGGGATAGATTAATTTACACCATTATTGGATTTTGAGAGGTTGAGGACCAACGGAACTTTAAGACAGAGAGGAAATTATCTCTGTCTGGCCCCAAAACAATTTCTAATATGAAAAGGAAATTGCTTAGCCAATCGCCTGACCTTAATGGCATTACATTAATCTCCGAGAACAAAGCAAGGAACCTTGGTGTTATCTTTGACCAGGACATGTCATTCAAATCCCAGGTTTCACAAGTTTGTCGGATTTCCTTTTTCCACCTTCGGAATATTGCTAAGATTAGAAGCATACTTTCCAGGAGTGATGCTGAAAAACTAGTTCATGCTTTTATTAAATCAAGACTGGATTACTGTAATTCATTACTCTCAGGAAGTCCACAGAATGTAGTTAAAAGTCTTCAGCTTGTCCAAAATGCTGCAGCTAGAGTTCTGATGAGAATTAAAAAGAGAGATCATATCTCTCCTGTCTTAGCTTCCCTACATTGGCTACCTGTTAAATTCAGAATAGATTTTAAGATCCTTCTTCTCACATATAAAGCTCTTAATAATCAAGGTCCATCATACATCAGTAATCTGATTGTTCCATATATTCCTAACTGAGCACTTCGCTCTCAGACTGCAGGTCTACTGGTGGTTCCCAGAATATCTAAACTTAGGATGGGAGGAAGATCTTTTAGTTATCAGGCTCCTCTCCCGTGGAACCAGCTCCCACCTTTAGTCCGTGAGGCAGACACTTTGTCTACTTTTAAGAATAGGCTTAAAACATTTTTATTTGATAGGGCTTATAGTTAAAATCTGATTTTAGCCTAAATCTGGACAAGTGGGGGATTACAGGGAGGTGGAGTGTACAGTCGGTAAAGACGGCTCTCCCTTGCCCTGCCTCCAACATGCCTACATCTAAATAGGATAGGTTATCCAGAGTTAACTCTGTAGTTATGCTGCTATAGGCTTAGACTGCTGGAGGACACACTGACCACTTTTCACACTCTACTGCTTTCTTCTACAGTCTGCTCTTTAACTGTACTATTTTGTGCAATTTCAGCTGTTAACTTTATTTTCTCTGTAAGTGTTTTTCTCCCCAGAAGAAGCTGCGATGACGTTCTGCTGAGCTGTGGTGGCCTCATGGAGGGGGCCATTGACTAGCACACTGCTGCTAACCACTAAAACATTCTCTCTCTCCTGATAATAACTTTTTGTTTTCATTGACTTTTCATGTGCTAATACTAGTTTATTCGTTTAATTATAGATCCACTAGGATAAATACAATAAAGTTTATCTTTCACCAAATACAATATTTACTAAGACATCACAATATAACTATAGACACATTACTTGTGTGTGTGTGTGTGTGTGTGTGTGTGTGTGTGTGTGTGTGTGTGTGTGTGTGTGTGTTTGTGTGTGTGTGTGTGTGTGTGTGTGTGTGTGTGTGTGTGTGTGTGTGTGTGTGTGTGTGTGTGTGTGTGTGTGTGTGTGTGTGTGTGTGTGTGTGTGTGTGTGTGTGTGTGTGTGTGTGTGTGTGTGTGTGTGTGTGTGTGTGTGTGTGTCTGCCTGCTCTGTCTTCTCGATCTCCAGTGAGTCGTGGAGGATGGCTGCTTATACTGAGCCAGGATTCTCTGGAGGTTTCTTCCTGTTAAAAGGGAGTTTTCCTCTCCACTGTCGCTGCATGCTTGCTTAGTATGAGGATTGCTGTATAGTCACTGACACTAGTCAGTGACTTGATGCAATTTGCTGGGTTCCTTATATAGGAAACATTATTTCTGATTGGCTTAATGAACTGTGAATTGGAATGTTTATTATGTGAAGTGCCTTGAGACGACTCTTGTCGTAATTTGGCGCTATATAAATAAACTTGAATTGAATTGAATTGAATCTAGTGCCCTTGAGCCTGTGAGGCTGCAACGAATACTCCCCCTTCAGAAGAAACGTGGAATGCTGCCGTCTCTATGGCAACTCTGTCTCCCTATCCCAGCCTAGGCGGGACTGTGGGCTATGAAGGCCGCCGAATCGTTCCAGGAGTCACTGTGCCCTCCAAACCCCAACAACCTCTCTCCCCTGTCCAGACTGAGGTGACGTGCGCTGCTTATCGTGGCTGCTGCTGCTGACTTGTGGAGAGTCCCAAACCCACCACCCCACCTAGTGGACACTTATATTGTGTTATGTCTGAAGTCTGTTGCATTTCTGTCTGAGGTGTTTTTTGCAGAGCAAAGCTGCCCTCCCTGTGGAGGGGAACTCTGAAGTGCCTTTTTTTTCCTCCACCTGAACCAGTCATCTCTAATCTCTATTAAGGTAGCGCGACTCAGGGTTTCGAATGACTACAGTCACCAATTCTTGTCATGTGTTTTTGCCTATGTATGTATGTCTGATCTCTGAATTATGTGTACTGAAACTCTAATTTCCCTCTGGGATTAATAAAGTATCTTTGAATTGAATTGAATTGAATTATAACTATGGCACAATGCACGTGGCAAAATGCCCCGAACATCTGGTCAAAGAGTTTATTTATACCAAGAGACAAGAAAGGAATGAAAGTAAGAGAGAGAGAGAGAGAGAGAGAGAGAGAGAGAGAGAGAGTGTGTGTGTGTGTGTGTGTGTGTGTGTGTGTGTGTGTGTGTGTGTGTGTGTGTGTGTGTGTGTGTGTGTGTGTGTGTGTGTGTGTGTGTGTGTGTGTGTGTGTGTGTGTGTGTGTGTGTGTGTGTGGCTTGTGCAGCTGTGTCTGAATGAGTATGCATGCAAAGAGGCATAGGGCGATACATATTACATTCAGTTGATTGAATCAATGATCAAGAATTAATAAACATGAAATTTCCATAACATTCCCTCCTGTTTACCTGAATAGGATAACCAAACAAGAGAAAACAACAA